CACACACACAGATCGATGGGCATCGCATTGCCCGAGCGTTCACCCGCGCCCCTTTTCCAGGGCAGGGACCGAAAGGGCGCTCCAAATTACCCCACCGCCGCCCTGCACAGGACTTACGGGCCCGCACGCCCGCGCGGCCCAAATCGATGCAACCCGCTCAAAAATGAGTTTGTTTTTAAGGTTGCTGCTTTGTTCTGGGACGAGTGCACACGGCAGTCACACACCCAGCCCAGCCCAGCGAGGCCGACTGTACGCGGGGCGGCGCCGCATCGCGCTTCATGGCCCGGGTGACGCGCTGACGCGCCATGAGAGAAGGGCGCCCTGGAGTCCCAGCTTTTTCGGGCCGGGACGCCGCCTGGCCGAGGTTTGCACCACCTCGCGGCTAAACGGCTCATCGCACAACATTTCTGACTAGCCCAGAAGATTCAGAAAGGTTTTTTACGTGCCCCGGCGTCGTTACATTTTGATTTGGTCAACCGGGGACCGAACGCGGCGAGCCTGAAGGGCGGCAGTGTGGCGCGGCCGAGGGTCCGCAGCGGCTGGCTGCCTGATGGCTGGCCGCCGGCTACCCCCACCCTACCGCTTGGGGAATATTTCGTGCCTTTTAAGAAGAAATAACGGTGAAAACGACATGTTTTTCGTCTAAGGAAATATCACACCTAACACAAGTTTGAACCAAGAAATCGGTGTCTATGGCCTGTAGCGGTAGGGTGGGGGTAGCCGGCGGCCAGCCATCAGGCAGCCAGCCGCTGCGGCCCCTCGGCCGCGCCACACTCCCGCCCTTCAGGCTCGCCGCGTTCGGCCACGGTTGACCAAATCAAAAAAAAAAGACCCCGGGGGCACGAAAAAAAACCTTTCTGAATCTTCTGAGCTAGTCAGAAATGTTGTGCGATGAGCCGTTTAGCCGCAAAGTGGTGCAAACCTCGGCCAGGCGGCGTCCCGACCCGAAAAAGCTGGGACTCCAGGGCGCCCTTCTCTCATGGACGCGCTGACGGCATCGCAGCTGCAATCAATAGCGCGGACAGACAGCCCCGCGGCCCGCCAAATCGAAGACGAGCCCCAAAATGCCGCCAAGGCCAGCGAGCCAGGCGCCAGCCTTGGCGCCAGCCACACACGGCCGTGCACGGATTCGCGGGGCCGCCGAGGCCGGCCGAGGCAGTGTAGTGGCGAAAAGGGGCTTTCTGGAACGCACACCGCGACGCCCGCAACAACTTCGAAAACAAAAGATACATTCAAGTATTAAAATATTGTGAAAATGCACGAACAGACGAGCGTTTCCACCGCGTCCCCCACCGCCACAGCAGCACGGCGCGCGCCGCATGAGTCACTTCCTCCCACCTGCTACGCCCCGCCCCCCCCCCCCCCCGCCCCCCCCCGCCCCGCCCGCTCGGCCGCCTCGCGATGGTCAGGCGGAACACCCCGGCCAGTCCCCGGTCCAGCCGCCGTCGCCGTGTTCCACTCGTTCCACTCCTTACCCCGAACTCGAGGCGCGCGCCGCGGTGGCGAATTAGCACGCCGCCCGCCGACAAGGCGGCCCTCTGCGTCCCCGCAGCCTGCCAGGCCCTGGCTCCTGGCCGCCCTGGCCGCTGTCGCCGCGCCCCCCGCGGGGAAGGACGGCCACGCCGGGACCCTCAACGCGGCCGGTGCGCGCGGCGCACGCAACAGTTCACGGAGGCCAGGCCCGCCAGGCCAACCAGCCAGCCGGGCCATGCAGACGGCGGCGACGGTGACTCACGGGCGCGGCCCTCGCCTCGCCGTGCCGCCAGCGGACCAAATGATTCAACGAGTCGATACATTCTCCCGACGCCCTCAGCACCGAGCCTCTCTGTCTCTCTCCCGCCCCTGTTGAAAACGGCGCACTCTCCCGTGCTCCCCGCCTGGACGAGCGGCACGGGTCCGGCAGAGTGCAGTGTTCTTCAGACTGCAGACTGTTCCCCAGAGTCGCTCTGTCTCTCTCGCACCTCATACGGGACGCCCCGCGAGTGCGAGAGAAACGGAGCGACGAAAACGACTCTCGGAATCGGTCTGCTGGAGCAGAGGCGCCAGAGGCACGGGCAAGGATCCGTAATGAACGGGCGACGTCGTCGCTATGGCAACGGGACAGCGGGAACGAAGGGGGGAGGGGGGGGGGGGCACTACTACCGCCGTGCGGCACGGTGAGCCCTTTTCCCCGCGGCCCCGAGGCGCACAGCCACCTTTCGTTTCGTTTTGGTGCCTTGCCTTAGCCTTCCAGAGGATCATCCACTTACGACGGTTTTTCGGGGCTCTGTCCTTGCTACTCCCTATGGACTGCCAGTGCGGTCGAGAGAGACAGAGGACGTTACGTCATAGGTGGACGAACCCCAAACCGGAGGGGAAACTCAAACGCAGCCCGTTACGCACGCTGCGCCGCCAATATGTTTCGGCACGGACAGCTGACGAGCTCCAATTGGCGCCAACATCTGACGCGGTGAGGGGAGAGGGGAGGGGGAGTGAACCCTGACCTCCGTCCGCTCCATGCGACAGCCGTCATCGCGCTGGACCCCACAGGGACCCCACAGGGGGCCCCGGGAGGGGCAGGGTCGTCCGCCGCGCCCCCTTCTATCAGGCGGGACTGTACAGTGCAGAGTGCGACGGGCACCTTGGTGCACCGGGCAGGGACTCGACGGCCTGCGGCAGGTCCTTCCCTGCCGCAAGGGCCGCAGCAAGTTCGGTCGCTCTGCCTCTCCCGCGTCTATAAGGGACACCCCATGAGTGCGAGAGAGACAGAGCGACGAAAACGACGCTCGGAATCAGTCCACTGCAAGTGGCACACTGCGCGGCGCTCCGGACAACCAGACGAGAAGCAGCGGAAGCCTGGCGGGGGCCTGGCGGAAGCCCGGCGGAAGCCCACTCGTTACCCGCGATGCCGAAGCGCGAAGCAGCCCAAGCGGCCGCGATGGAGGTCAAATCTGCGCCAAAGACCGGCCGACCGGCCGCCACCCCAGCCAGTCAGACAGCGGCGGCCAGCCAGGCGGGAACGGAGGCGAGGCGGTGAGGCAGCAGCAGATGGCAACACGACCAGCACGGGCACGGCGGGCACGGCGTGGCGGGGCGCGGAGTGCCACGGCCAGAGGGGCCGGAGGGGCCAGGTGTGCCGCCACAGTGTGCCAGTGCTGCAGCAGGCCGCTGTCTCCCTCGCACCTTTACGGGCCGCCTCATGAGGGCGAGAGAGAAGAGGCAGTGCGATGAGAGCAGTGCTCGGCCTGCAGAGGCAGAGGAAGCAGCGAAGCAGCGGCAGTCGCGGCGGCGCCAAGTGCAGCCATTTGTTGCACTCGCGGCGAAGATAGCGTCACCAATCACCAAATAAAGCCGAATCGACCCGCCGAAAGGCCGAAACGCGCCGTTGTCGAAGGCAAATTGGCTAGCGTGTCCTTGCTGGCCAAATACAGTGTACCACAGCACATCCGCCCAGCAGAGCCGGGGCCCCAGGGCCCAGGGCAGGACTCGCAAAAAATGGAATGCCCAGTTGGAAAGGGCGGTGACGATGCACCGAGCACGGACCCAGCTTCTTCAGGGCCCCGACTGCCTCGCGGCCACTGGGCACGCGCCTCTTTAGCCGTACCCTGACTTCCAGGGGCCTCCAGATGAACTTGGAGCCTTGTGCCAGGCCTGCCAGTCCGCTGCCCTATTAGGATTGGGAGTGGAGTGAGGTCCTCCACCCCTCACTCTCACTATCACTCGCCCTGCAGGCGCGGACTCGGCTCAGAGCGGTGTGTTGCCCCAGAGGGATCATCCCACATTAGCACCACAGTTGACGACCAGTCAACACAGATCTCATTCTGGGGAGAACACATTGACAAGCATTGCGACACAGGTAGCATTTGTCAGAAGGGGTGCAGATTCGAACCTGTCAGAAGGGGTGCAGATTCGAACCAAGTTGAAATACCTTACTTGAATGGGAATTTACAAATTCATTCACATTTTCTGTAAAAATTACACGAATAAAATTTTCCAGCCTTGCACGCTTACATTTAACATTGACAAGAAAACAAGGGGGGAAGAGGGCTTCTTCCAGAAACTTAAAAACAAACACCCAAGACTATGTCCCAGGTGGCTTGCCATGCCACACAGCAGCACTGGCCTCCATTATTGCTTCCGAATAAATTAAATGCTTGACATCTTCAATAAGAGGTAATACAATGACACAGGTTAAGAACTAACGAATTGGTTCCATTCATAAGTTTTTGCCAACAGGTTAAAACCATTAACTTTTCAGTGCCCATGAAGTATCCATCATGAAAAGGCCATCTTACAAAGAACTAAAAATCGCTCACTGTATTATAAATCCGAGCAGATACTCAGAATATGTGAGAAAGTCCCTCAGACATAGAATGTGTAGTCAGTCAAAGCATACTGGAAAAATTAGGCAAAATGATGTAAAATAGCCGCAAATGGGACAACTTTCTACAAAAGTCACGAAGAAAAAAATTGGAAAATTTACAGGATTTTTTCAATGAAAAATTAAGAGTAAGAAGCACTTAGTCACACCCATCATTTCAGACAGTGAAAACATTCATTAAATCAGGTAGCTATTTGAGAGGTCGCAAACAATCTCTTGACAGTACAACAATAGAAATTTGAACATGTGCTTCTTCTGTTTGATTGAAAGCAGCTCATGGCATTATAACCTGCATAGTTCTACTAGTAACACATTAAGTACAGAGAACACAATCGGCAAAATCAATCAGCAGCTGGGAGGTGACTGATTAACAGTTCTTTGCATTCATGTTAATTTTTAAATTTCTACAGAGGGGTCGTTTCCAAGGAAATGACGAACGTGGGAACCGAAAGTTTCAAAGAAAATGGCCTATGAAGATGCGTGTCCTGAATTCCGAAGATACCCGACTGGTGTCAAGAGGTTAGGACAGGCACGAAAAGTCATTCATTGAGGAATTGTGAGTAGAGCGTTGCTCCCATTTTTCCAATTGATTGTGATGATGGTGTTGTGAGGGCGGCCGCACGAAGCCTAGGCTACTCACCATCGGTCCTTTTGATATTCACACTTGTGCCGGATTCTAAGGCGACGAGTCCCTCCTCCATGTTGCAAACGATGAGTTATATCCTTGTAAACACAGCGGTGCAACACACACAATATTCAACCATTTACACGTTCAACAAATCGAATCTATCGTCGCCAAACCGAATCCGAACCGTGTCGCTGGCACACAATCACAAAGTTGACAGTTACTTCTCGGCACGGCACAAGAAGAAAACAGGAAGAATTCAAAAAGCCCCGGAAATGGGCCGTCGGCCGCAGGCTGGCCGGGGCAGCTGTTCCAGGCTCCAGTGGGGGCGCGGCCGCAACGGCGCGAAACTGGCTTTTCGACAATCCGCGTATGTTTAGAAACCGTAGTGGAAAACCGAGGCACTCATTGCAACAAGCAGTTTCTGGAGATCCCTGGAGTACTTATTTTGATGGCTGTCGTTGTTCGAATGACTCAGGATTAGCGAAAGCTTGTGACTGTGCATTTCGAAAATCCGCACATACAGGGAGGCCAAGGTGAAAGAAATTGCAAAAGACCATTGCGGAAAGTTCTTTTCGACAACTCAACAATGACAAATTAATATTCAACCTGCTTGAAATAAATGTTTTGCCTATACTACAATGTTATTTTTGCCTATAACTTCTCAAGAACTAAATCTTTCAAACTATTTTCTCGACTATTTGAATCTTACGGGTGCCCATGCTGAAAACAACATGTTTTCACAGCTGTTTGAAAGAACGAAATATATCGCTTGAGGGTCTTTCGTACGAGACTCAAGAACTGTTAAGACAATGAATCAAATAACGGAAGAATCTTGTCTTGTCAATTTAAAATGGTCATTCTGCACGAGATATCAACAATATTTCAAATAAGCGCCTGCTTTGAGTTTTGTTTCTTACTTTCAAGTTGGCAGCCTGCTGAGGCGCGAGAAGAACCCGGAAGCAGAGTCAGTTTAAGTGCTTTCCTCGATGTTTTAGTTTCTACAGAAAATACTTAAAAGGTGTTGTAAATTTTAAATTTTTCAGAAGATTTTCTTTGCTAATCTCCTCCGAAACTACGTTGGCCAACTCCAAATGAAGAGAAAATTTTGTGCACTCTGATTGGCTTTTGTTTTTCGTCTGCGCTCACCGCCTTGCTGTACTGTGTTTGCTAAACTGTAAATAATCGACCCACGAGCAGCGTCCCTGCTGTGGCTGCATGTTCAAAACACAAAGTTTACCTTATTTATGTTTGTGTCGGTGGTGATTGTGAAGTGATACGCGCCCGGCGTAGTCTGCGAGTGTGCCATAAGTGCGAAAATGGGTCTGGCTCGGGGCGGGGCAGGTGGCCGAGGTGGCGGGCGCGGCTCGGGCCGCGGCGTGCACAAGAAAGCTCGTGGTGGGCCCATGATGAGACCCGGGCCACCTCCTCTGATGGGCCCTCCAGGACCGCACCCGCCCATGGGTGGCCCCAGGATGAGGCCACCACCTCCAGGGATGATGCACCAACCCCCTGGCGTCCGGCCGCCACCCCTGGGCATGCGGCCCCCAAGGCCACCACCCCCTGGTATGGTTAGGCCACCACCGGGATTTCGGCCCCCACCGCTCGGGCCCCATGGTCCTCATGGACCACACCACGGTCCGCACGGCCACCATGGACCACACGGGCCGCACGGCCCTCACGGCCCCATGGGCCCCATGGGCCCCCTCGGACCTCACGGCCCCAGGATGGGCCCCCCCGGGATGCCCCCGCGACCTCCACCCCCTGGCATGATGCGAGGGAGGGGCGGGATGATGAGGCCCCCCATGATACCCCCATGGGTAGGCCCCCCTCGGCCCCCGGGCCCTCCCGGCCCACCCGGTGGCCCCTTCATGATGAGGGCGGCACGGGAATGGCGTAGAGGAGGCATGGCCAACAAGGGCGGCAAGAATCGCAAAATGAAAGGGAAGAGCGGAACAAACCGACCGCAAGCTGAGGTAAGGAGTTTTTCTCTTGAACAAGTTAATTTATGTCGTTTTATGTCTTGTCTTGAACATATATTTACTGCTTTGTTGCAGCTAGAAGCAGCTGAGCTGGCTAAACCATGGGTGAACGATGTAATTAGGCCCGAAATATTGAAGAAGCACAAGCTGCATGCAGAGGCCCGTGCCAGCAAAGATGTGAAAGATTGGGAAGCTTTCAAAGAACAGAAAAAGAAAGTAGCTGTTATGGTGAATGAAGCAAAATTGGAATATATCGGAAGTCATCCAGAAGAGGTGAGTCCAGCAGTCAAAGATAGTGCAGAGAAAGTTGAACAAACTTAGATATTTCTGTGAGTGCCTCTCACACGCATTAAAATGGAAATTTTATAATTATAGAGCCTTTGCATTTATGGAAATTTCGTAATAATAATGTATCTTTGATTCCTTATGTGTCCACACCAGCACAATGCCATTTGCATCACAAATACCATTGTTGAGTCTGTTATATTTTAATAAGATGTGAAATGTTGGATTCAATGATAGTCGAGATCTTTTTCAACTATTTGGAACTGTCTCGCCATAGTTAATTTACAAAGTTTCTCAATCATGATTGTGATAAATATTTTGTTTTAGTATTATTCCTTGAACTCAGGAAGTCAAGGGAACAATGGAGGTAGTGGTAGTATAATTCTTGTGTGGTACCGGGCACTCTTAGATGTACATCTTTGCTTTGTCTTCATGCAACTTTCAACTCTCTCTTTAAGTCTGCAGTTTCTTTGCTATTTGTATACACTTGTGTGTTTCTGAATCACTTTCATCTTCTATTATCACCCCAAGTCGGGTAGGGGGAGGGGGGGAGCACTTTCGTCTTTTCAACAAACCTACTTCCAGAATATTTCAGTTTTGGAATTAGTCATCCATATGTTTTTCATGTGTTTCAAAACAAACAAAAAAAGAATTCCCCTGAGTTCTGCATGCTTTGTCCTCCCTATGCTTTGACCTCATTTCATTGTCTGCACAAATTTTCTACAATAACAAAATCTCTACAAAGCTTACTTGAATGCTTTCTTTTCTTAAAATTAAGAGAACTTTTGCACATATTTTGGAATGGCCCTGTGTGCTTCTAACTATGTATGTTACCATGACATTCATCACATTTGTGTGCTCACTCGGCTCAGAAACTAATAAATAACTCAATTTGAATGTGTGTCATCTACAGCATCTAGATGATCCATTTACACATCTGTGTAAATGCCTTTTTGGTACTGCTTCAAAATTCACTGCTGTTATATGGATAGCTTATGAATTAAAATATGTTGATGACAAGGAGTAATGGTGCATGCTGTTAAATTTCACCCTCAACCTATTTATATAAACTGTATAGGTCTTTTCAGTCATCTCTGGTTCATAGATAAATTACATAAGTGCCAGTGGCAAGCGGTCCTCCTTAAATATCTTATGCCATTTGTGACATCTAATTTTCAGTAAATTATGCCTACTGTAGTCATACTGGAATTTTATTAGCACACATTGGCTTCTCCCCAAACTTTTTGACTATATTTAACCCAGTAGACTTGTTTGTTTGCTCACATTTTTCCATTATGCTGTTTACATTTGAATTCTGTAATTCATGCAAGTTTCTGATACCCTGCCATCGTCTTAAATTCATCTCTGCTCACAAAGTGGTTTAAAGTAGTATTTCAGAAAAGTAGCACTGATTACCTCTTCCTTCCTTAGAATGTAACATAAGTACAGCATTGACTTCCTGAAAATAAAAATGGCTTCTCTCTTTTTGAGAATAACTTGAAGTTTCTTAAGAAGCTGCTAGTCTGTAGTATTTACAGTAACTGTCCTAAATTAATCACACATTTTTTTTTGTTCCATATGGCCTTTCAGGATGTTGATAAAATCATGGCTGAGGTGGCGGAGAAGAAGTAAGGAGACCCTGATTTTAATGATATTGTTAATTGAGAGTTGCAACAAATTCGTCATCAGAATCTTGCATTTTATTTCATTAATTTCTCTTGAGTGTACCTAAATTATTAATGCTATCAAACTTTTTTTGTGTGTACCTCATGTGCAAATGGTCTGTATGGACTTAATTTTGTGATCATGTTCCTCCAAATCAGTGATAAAGAATCTTTACCTTATTTTTATCCATCTGCTACTTGAAATGCTAATGCATTGTTGTAGCATTTTGCTTATAATTTGTAAGTCTAGTGTGATTATCTCCTATTTAAGATTTGTTTTTATGACTAATCTGTTTATTTATTGCACAAAGTGTGTACTTTGTGTATTGATTGAAAATGGCACTATTTTAGAAGTGCCAAGTTCTCACGCCAATCCTCATAATGTTATTTTCCTTCTCTCCCTCCCCCGAAAAAGACAAGTGTTTCATATTTGTCAGGGAACTGGTGCTTATGATTCCTCTACTAATTTGTCATTGTCTGAGTAATTTTTTAGTGTCTTGCTTTTAATTAACTTCTAGTTGCATCATTACTTCCAAGTATTGGTTGACCTTGTATTATAGTAGGTAATTGTATCAGTGTATATGTAGTTCAGAACAAGAATTAAGTCCTTTTGGATGCCAACTCAAATCAACTGATTTTATGACAAAAATGTCTTAAATAGTTTTCACACCACCTGGGGTCGATTTTTCTTTCTATTTCTCATTCTATTTCTCCTTCTCATGTATTCTACCTGTGAAGTCCAGTGTTGTGATGACCCTTCCATTATAGATGAACTGTAGGTGTTTTAAATGACCTGACTAAGTACAACTTTTTTAACTTTAAAAGAATGCATTGAACTATTCATCCACCTCTTATGGCCATAGTTTATCATTAAATGGGAACTATGATTTGTGAATATTTTACCCTTTCATTTTGTCTCTGTGAGACCTCTTTTTTTTCCTTTCTAATTTTTGTTTTCATTTTCTATTTAATTTATTTTTTAAAATGGCAAGTGAGACACTTTGCTGTTTTGTATGAATGTAACATGCAGCCAAATAAAGCTAAGTAAAAGTATTCTGCCACGTAATATTCTAAATAATGCCATGCCCTCTACAAAGGTAGGCAAGCACCCTCAGACATCTTTTGGAAACTGCAAGGAGAAAAGTCAGAGTTTCTCTGTCGCTCCTTCTGTGTGCACCGTGGCAGAGAAATAAATTACCCTGCAAGTCCAAACAGACCAGCTCAAATTACAATAGTTTAAGGGTGTCAACAATTTACTCACTTTTTCTTCTACCAACTTGTCTGACAATTTGGAAGGACCTGTAGTGAATGCTTATTGCATTGTGTAACTGGAAACAAGTTACCATATTGGTCTTTTAAATGTGACTCAATACAGAATTAAGAGTTTTAGTTTTGTGAATCTACTCTCTCTTCATGCTGAAAACACATTGGATGAAAATAATGGTCCTCTCAAAATGAACAACTGAAACAGTTTTAAAATGCCACTTCTATGTGTATTTGGAGGTCACTTGAACTGTCCAGTGACATAAATGAAATATCATGTTACTTCATACTCTCAAAATCAATTTGTTCAGACAATTGTCTTTTCCCAACATTTAAAGAGAGAATCTTTTTTAAAAATAAGATAAACTTGGTGCACAGTGGAAGGAGATACTTGTAGAATCAATGTCATCGAAGAAAAGCACAAGAAAATTCTTCACACGTTACCTTGAACACCTCGTTTGATATGATTCAATACAATCAGCTGCATGGTTGGACACACATCAGTTGCTCTAACTGATGGTTTGACATGTGCTTCATCTCTGGGATCATTGCCTAGCATTTCATTCTTTTTTTTTGTAATTGTCACCGGTTGGATTCTGGGTGCCACCACAGCTGTTGCCTGGATCTGCAGGTTTGTTTCCAATCTTGTGTGCTCATCTAGTTTCAATTTAAAGTTTGCTCTATTTAAATTCTCTATAAAAAATTAGGTTTTTGAAGATATTTAAAATAGTAATCAGTAAAACCTTTAAGTATTTTTTGTGTTGCATCTACTTGTTTTGTTGTCTTTTATTCCTGAGGTGTGCGTGTGTGTTTTCCCCCTTCATTTCCAAAGCAAATGCATCCTTCTTGTTGTACTGAGAGGGCATCAGCACTACAACGGTTTATGATGTGTGTCCTCTGTAGCACTGTAGCACAATTTTGTGTCTCCTTGACAAAGTTTTAACAACTTTTTCTGACTTTTAGGTGACAGATGATGAAGACAGCTTTGACGCAGACAGCAGTTTTGGGGGCAATGATGAAGAGGACTGTGCAGACTCATCATTTGAAGAAGAAAGTACCGATACTGGTTATGAAGAAAATGGATCCTCCCAAGAAGAATGGCAATGGACCCCAGATTCCTACTACAACTACAGTCAGTCAAGTTTGGAGGGATCTGAATTGAATGAGAGTGCAACTGCTTCATCTTCGACAAATCTATACCAAAATTCGTCAGAGTCATATGAACCATATGACTCTTCTCAAGACCAGTCACAAGATGGTTATAGCAGCTATGAGGGCTATGACAACTATGAGGATGGTTATGAGGGATATGACAACTATGAGGGATATGAAGGATATGACAACTATGAAGGCTACGGATGGAATGACCCAGCCTCACAGTCTTACTATAACTCATCAAACCCACAGCCCCAACAGTACTATGGTTCATCTAGTCAGAATACCATGCATAATCAGTGGTACAATCACCAATCATATGAGCAGTCACATTCATCTTTCCAGCAATATGCTGTTCCATATCAACAGAAAAACACTGCATATTCTAATTCATCCTTTGGAAGTAATTCACAATCAAGAGACCAGAAAAATAGATCTTACAACACCCCTAATGCTAATTTTAATAAGCAGCAAGGCTACAGAAGGAAAGATGAACCTTTAACACTATTTTATTGTGAAAGTTGTGACAGATCATTTCCCACTGATGAAAAGCTTAAAGAGCATTTGTCAGAACATAAGGTTTGTGGCCGTGAGGGGTGCAAATTTACTGCCCACGCCAAAGTTGTTGAGAAGCATATCAGGTTGCAGCATGACACAGGTCTTTATAGGAGGATTAAAAGCTCTGGAGACTCAGAAAAATGGCGGGCTGAAAGAAAGAAGTGAGTACCAAAGGATGCCAGCTTTCTTTTGGTTGTTTCTTTGTTTTCCTGTTGATAATTATCTGTATCCTCTCTTTTGCTCAGGAAATTTCCATCAAAAGAAAATATTGAAGCAAGACAGAAACAGCAACAAGAAATGTTGAGTAGAGGTGAACGCTTAGGATTTGATCAGAACAGATTCCAAAATTCAAGAGGTATGTTATACTTACTCTGCTTACTTTACACCTCCAACAACTTTATGTTTTAATATATCTTTCCAATAATCACAGGGCGTGGAGGCTTTGGTGGTAGGGGTAGGGGAAGACATAATAATTCAAATATGCCTCCAAGAAACCTAGCCATGAAACAAGAACCAGGTGAAGACGGTCCACATCCTCCAAGGCCATGGAGGCCACAGTTCCCTGTCCCAGTTATTGAGGATATAGAGTTGTGCACTAGGGGAAAATTGGCAAAGTTCCTCGGCACTGGTAAGTTGTTGTCTCAAAACTGTTTTAAAATTATTATTTTTTTCTTTTGAAACCTTATATGAGTTTAAATGTCATTCTTTTCCTGGTCTTCCTTTTAGAATGCTATAAGTCTGAGAAGGAAAAGGTTCAAGAGACAATGTCAGCGTGTGGTGCTTTAAATACACTGTGTGACTATGGAGGGGCTGAGTCATCGGATGAGGATGACTCTTTGGACAATGTTGAAGAAAGACAACCATCCATAACAAAAGTCGTTGGCCAGGGTAAATCAGAAGAAGCTGCTGACCTTGCAGAGCCAACTGAAGCAGTTGAAAAATCAGAAGTCAAAGAACAAACTGTAAAGGCCATGTCTGAGGCAGGAGAAAAAGGTAAGGCAAAAATTACAGTAATATAATATTCCTTTGTGGTGCTGCTAGTGTGGTCACCATAAACCTTGAACCATGACATAACGTTTACATTTTTACCATTCTGCTCTTCCAGAAGTCAGTACGCCTGAATCAAAACCAAACCCCCAAATAATATCAGAAAATAATGACTATGAAAGTGATGGCAGTTGCCCAGAGGAAGTGCCAATTCTGAAAGAAGTTGCTGACAACACAGAGGCTTCAACTTCACCACCCACTAATGAAGCAAAGAAAAGAAAACTTGAGGATTCTGAACCAAGTGAAGATCAAAATCAACATAAACATAAAAAAATCCATAATGAAGCTTCTGATGCTAAATTTAAAGGAAACTTTAGGCAAAGAGGAAAAGAGAACAATTCATTCCATCGAGGGAAACGCATGCCACGGAGGCCTCCTACACTTTTAGAGAAAGTAAGGCATAGATATTATGGCATTTGTCACAACTGCTAACTTGCACAATAACAGACTGCTTGCTTTATTACTAAAACAATTTAACTCTTTTTTTATTTTGCTTTCTTGCAGCTATTGGCTCCTGATATCCAACATGAAAGAAACGTCATTCTTCAGTGTGTGCGCTACGTTGTCGAGCAGAAGTTCTTTAATGTTAGTCAGAAAACTTCGGAAGCACAAGCACCTCCTGCAAATTGAGTCATTTTTTCAACACTTTAATGTATTTACAGGTCAATTGTGCATTTCCTCTAAGTCTTTGTGATCATCTATTGCTAAGTTTTGATTGTTACCCTACAGTGCCTTTATTTTTTCTTTGGGACATATGATGTTCCATACAAGAATGGTTACCTTTATATTACTATATATAAGTGTTCATTTCTATATTTTGTACAACTATATGGAAATTCTATTTTGTGTACCTTGCATCAGTAGTTTCCTTGTTAGTTTGTGTGTTTTTGTTTTAAAGAAACATTTCTCTTTAATTAGTGTGTTAACTAAATGTTTTCACTGTGTTGTCTATTCTATTGGATAGGAACACATCTGTTGCTCTTTTGTTACCTTCTTGACAGATCTTACTTCAAATAAAAGTTCAATTGTATTTTTTGTTTATATTTTCTTAAGCACATTTAACAATGCTTTAACGTCTATATACACAGTCATTTGAAAATATGATCCAAACTAAGGGAGGCAAAAGAAAACAAGACTTCTCAACCACAAACCATGTTGCCTATATACACATCATATTCATATATTCATTCATGGTACCTGGAGATTGTCTCATACAACAAGGCAATCTTAAGTTCATTCAAAATTTTGTACTAAGCCTTCATTATCACCAAAAAATTAATACTAAGAAAAGAGGTAAATCCCAAGAAAAATAATCTTTCAGCCTAGTAGAAGCTTAGCTTTAAATTAAGGAAATCATGAAGGGTTAGAAGGTGATGAGCCATCTTCATTTTTGCTCTCCAACGAGAAAGGTGGGATACGGCAGTCAAATGTGTATCCATCTTCACGTTCCATTCTGAATGTTCCCCTGAAATTCACAATAATTTTATTACAGGGTACTGAGAGAAAATATTTCAATAATGAACAACTTGAGCCAAAATAGAGGATATAAGCCTTACCACATATGCCCACTTGGTGCCTGCAAACTGACATGGCTGCTGTACTGAAAGGCTGGTAATGCCTTAGACAGAATGGGTTCCTGACCCACCACCCCACGACCCCGAACAGTTTCTAAGGTTCCTGAAAGACTAAATATCCGCCAATGCCGTTCCCGCAGCTGCACAGTCAGCTCTCCTAGATTTTCTAAGCGTATGCAATACCTCCACTGCAAAATTTACAAAACATTTTAGTGATGCCTTTACAAAAGAAAAGAAAGAAGGACCACAAAGTAAAGAAAGTAGAATTTACATACCCAAAATACTGATGCTGTTTGGGACTCACGACAGCCCATATAAAAAGGTATAACTGTTACTCTAATATTTTCTGTTGTTTCCTTGTGGACATCTGACAGTTCCAGCCAAGGGTGATTTTTCTTCTGCCATGCCCTCAAAGTTTCTTGAGCCCCAAATGGAGGATCTATAAATTTAAGCAAATATTTATTAAGATGATAGTGTCTTTAGTTGGAACTAAGAGCAGAAGGTGAGGAATTTTTTTAGCCAACCTCGCTCTGGATAATAGGCCAAAAACTTGTCGAAAAGCTCATGCTGTAATGGTTGCTTCTCTGTGGTTGAGTAGGGCAGAATATCTTCATGTGCGACATAATCAAGGCCAGGAATAGCATATAAACTCCTACTTGATTCTTGTGATCCTAAAAATGTTACAGCCTCGGTTTGAGCTCGCTGAAATTTAAAAGATAATGCCTTGTGAAACTTGCTTCAAGGAATGTGTGTGAGAATCATTGATAAAATTGATAAAAGTAATTAAATGGATGAAAGAATTTTAAAAAATTCTTACTCACAATAAATGGACAATCCCTTGAATCAATGAGAACTTGATAAAACGTGTGTGTTCTTCCTTTGACTTCTTTGCCTACATGACTGGTTGGGGTTCCATCATCCGAGCTACGGGTCAGAGAATGGAAATTTTTTTAACGTCTCAAACAGCAATAAACATTGAACCAACAAAAAAAAAGATAGAGGAAGAAAAGGGGGTAATAATATTTACCTATCCTTCTTTGAAGGCACATCTCGGTCATAAACTCTAGCAAGCCATGGAAACAGAATCACTCCTCTGTAACCGAAAACTCGATGGAGAAACAACTGACCAGTATCATACTCTCCTTTTATCTTTGGAGTATCTAAGCGCCCAACTTCGGCAAGTCTACAAAGAAAAATGATTTCAAATTAATTGCAACACAATCGAAGTAAACATAGAACCATGGTGAAAGAAACCGAACACTAAACCAAGGCAAAGTCAAGTACATTTCACCCTATTCAAATGCTAACAATGTATTTCAAACGCATTAATATACAATAAACATAGTTTTCCTTGAGAAAAGGAACAACAATCGAAGTGTACAGACATATGTTTGGTTAGTTGCCCTCGACACCCGCAACTATACAATGAGTCAAAGCATAATCTAAATCCACTTACGACGGGAAAAAATTGATGCAGAACATCTCTAATGATATTAGAACGGAAACAATTGATAAATCAAACACATTAACAGCCGGGTTCGAACTCACAAAATTCGATAACCTATATCCGAGCATTGACGACAATACAAACATACGAAAACCAACTGTATTTTATAGGCACCTTAAAATGACTGTGTATTACCTAGCACGTTGGCATGTCTGTAACGAGAAGAATCTTAGCGACACCTGCAAAAAATTCCTATGGATTGACTTGGAGACACGGAAAAGAATCATCTTCTTGCTCTTGCCCCCAAGCAGAAGCAGACGAGACGAAACAAAAACAGACAAACAGTCAGGCGCAGGCAGGGGCCGGCTGCCGCTCGGGATGCAGGTCACCGCAAATAAAATCAATATGTGAACGAAAGGATAGCGAACCGACTCCACGATTCGAATCTATATACCTCTGTAAGTAGTTTTCTAGCCATCATTGCCTTTGGTAGCTCGAAAATGGCATGTCTTGACTGTTTTGGGGATGGAAAATGTGGGCTAATGCTCCCAGCAGCAGAACGCTGTCGCTGTCAATACCAGCTGATCAATAGCATTACGGAGCCACGTTATGTAATATTTCGGTTTCCCGTGTAACCCGAACTATTTATTCACAAGTTGTAAAGACATAAGTATCATGTTAATCTTTCAATTTTGTCTGAGTAAAAACACTGCTAAGAGAAATGATCCATTTAGTTAACCTCGAAGTTATTTGAATATTTCACTCTTTTATGATGTTTGCGTGGTGTGTATCGTTTAGTAGTCTCCATCAAATGTATCACACATCTCATTTGTTTATTTTTATTCTGTTATGTTGCAGGCCCTTTAATAAACATGACATTTACCATGGGTGAAACGGTTGAGCTCAACAACTTAGTTCACTCAGATGAAGATGACGATGAAGAAGATGATGATGGAGACATGGGCATCTTGGGGCGATGTGGAGGAGATGATGGTGACATGATGCTCTACATGCGATTGAGTACAAATAGAGGCAGCAGTGGAAATCTTTCAAATGGCAACATTGCTGTTCGCCACTTTTCACCTGGCAGTTCAAATTGCTTTAACTTCTGGAGGCTCTCAACATTTGGACAATGTCCTTACCTGGGACTGGTTCTTGCAACTTTATCATCTTTGTTTTTCTCTCTTTGTTCAGTCATAGTTAAAGGCTTGGTTAGTCTATTTTATGTTTGACTGTAACATTGATGTTGTAGTTACATGTTTGTAGTGATTTTAAAAACTGTATTTTATGGTTGCAGGTGAATGTTCATCCTATGGAGCTGGCTGCTTGTCGTTTTGTTGGTGTTTTACTTCCAACTATACCTATTGTGATATGGCGAGGAGATCATGTATATCCTCGTGGACGCAGAATCATGCTTCTTCTGCGATCATTCGTTGGTACAACTGGACTCATGTTGAGTTTCTATGCCTTTCGCCTCATGCCACTAGCTGATGCATCAGTGCGTATACCTTCCCTTATCCTAGTACCTATGTTGTCCCTAATATCACTTTCAACTTTGTCCTCTTTTTGTTGCAGGTTGTTGTATTTAGTGTTCCTGTGTTTGTGGCAATCTTTGCCCGTCTATTCTTGAAAGAGCCTTGTGGCCTGTGGAATGTCGTATGTGTATTACTCACTCTGATTGGAGTTGTTTTGATTACTCGTCCTCCCATGCTCTTTGGAAACAGTGTTCCTGCATTGTCGGCTGAAAATGGGGAGCCTGAATCTACCAATGTTTGGGGAGCTGTTGCAGCATTCAGTGCAACTTTGTTTGGTGCTAATGCATATGTTTTACTTCGAGCTTTGAAAGGACTTCATTTTTCTGTTATTATGACTAACTTTGGAACATTTGCACTGTTTCAAACGCTTCTTACAACTTGGGCGCTTGGTCAGCTTTGCTGGCCAGCATGTGGAACTGACAGACTTCTAGTGGTTGCTCTAGCTCTGTTCAGTTTTGGAGGTCAAATTTTACTCACTCTCTCCTTGCAACTCGAGCAAGCTGGACCAGTTGCCATTGCTAGGTCAGCTGATATTGTCTTTGCATTCATTTGGCAAGTGCTCTTCTTTCATGAAGTTCCTAATCGATACTCCATTGCAGGAGCTGTGTTAGTGACAAGCTCAGTTCTCCTCACTGGGGTTCGGAAGTGGTTAGTTGCCATGCCCAGCAATTCTCGTGTGAAAAAGTCATTGGGATTTTTAGCTACTTAAAAGTAACTGCTAAGCTCAAATGTTTTTGTTGTTTTTTTACTTATTTATTTGTTTTACCCATTCTTTTGTCTTATCTTCAGACCAGGAGTTGTGTACACTGCAGTATAACTAATGCCCTGTAAGTCGTCACCAAATCTTCTTGTGATATATTTACCAAATCTTACAAACCTGTATTTCTGTTTTGTAACTTTTCTGTTTTCCAATACCTAATTAGTAGATCTGCATCCTTATTATCCTATTATCTTAACATTGTTCTAGTCTGAGGAAATTTTAAAAAGAGTGTTTGTCATTTCCCATTATAAAAAAATTCCATCATTTTCTTTTTATGTTGGAGGAATTACATGCATCAACCTATACTCATTCGTCCAAGAATATGTAAGGCATGAGTAAAACGACCAGAAATTATGTGAAGTGGAATTAGCAATACTCTATCATTGTATTTTATTTGAAATTGTCAGAGTAAGCGTTTTATAAGTGCTTTTTTTTTTAATTTCATGAACTATGACAGTTATGCTTGCAGCAGTGAAGCATATATAAGAATGTGATGATCTGTAAGTAGCTGACTGTGATCTCTTATATTTAGGTAGAGCTTTTTTAATGTACAATATTTCAGAACCATTTTAAAACCAACAATGATTTGTTGGTTGTGGAAATTCTGACAGCTAATATTTCTCCTCTCACACACACGTTTTGTTTGTCTTGTCAACACCGGAAGGATAATTATTTGTAAGCCATAAGCAGATATTATTTACTCTCAAGTCTTTTATTATTAGTCATGTTCTCCAAGGGATTCCATTGTTATGTGAAGAGTGGTTTTGATTTATCAATAGTGGTATTAGGTGTGACTGGAGTCTCTCTATCTAACTCTCATAATTATGTACTCTCCTTCCTTTCATTCTGTAAAGGTTGCCAAAAAGAGTTCTTCTGTGAATTTGAGACTATTCCTATGACCAGCTCAGCATAGTATAGATTTTATATTTTGTAAGGGTGCAAAAGGTACCCCCCCACACACAAAACAATCAAGTATTATTGAGATATTGAAGGTGTTAGTGAGATAGATCAGCACACTAATGTAAGGCTTAACACAATATGTATACAAACAGTGCATACTGGTATGCACAATAATTTCTTGTAGTACGTATCTTGATAATGTCATCACAGGATAAAAGACTGAACAGTTGAATGAAACGCCATGTATGAGATCTGAATGCCGTGTAACAAGATTACAGTAATGTATTAACGAACAGGTTGCGGCACAAGTACTCAAGAAAATTTCTAATAAAGATGTTTTTAGGAGGAAGATGAATGTGTCTTTCTCATGTCCTGGGCCCCATCATGTAATCACCCGTAGGTACTTTTCCCTACAAGTTTTATTTCTTTTTATTCGAATAATTAGTACAGTCAACAACTTTATTCAAAAATATTTGGCCCTGCTTCAAAAATGTTGCCTAGTTAGTGCAAACGACACAAATTTTCTACATCTAGACATGAGATGAGGGCCCTCTCAAGATCTAGAGTTGGATAGAAGAATTCAGGTTTCAAACTCTAAACACCAAAGAAACCAAAAACACATTCGATAATTCTAAAACAACAAGAGGTAGGAAAACTTAATACAGAGCGTAAAAATTGCACATCTAGCACCTGAAAGAACAACAACGTAAAAAGACAGGCCATTGAGCACAATTGATTGGACAATGATGTACTTAGCAAAATTTGAAATTAAATTAAATGATTCAGAATCACATAAATTAGCACTTTTTAGCCCCTTTGGCACCATATTTAAGGTTTGAAAATAAAATCTGCAATAACTGGTATCTTGAAGCATTTAAAAGAAGGCCATGAGCAACAACAGTATGAGTGAATCATGATAAAGTAAATGAATGCTGGATTGCTATCACAAGGGAAAAGATAAAGTGCAACAATTTATTTAAAGACCTATTGCACAACACATGGACAGCTACTCCATTGTTATTTATATAACAGAAAATAACTATCACTTTAAGTCATGGGGGCAATTTCAGCTTTGGTCTTGGTTCAAACAACTGATACCTTACATTCAAAGGTCTCAAGACTGGAAGTTAAATGGATTAATGGTTGCAACTTAAATTTAATACATTAAAATTGCCAATTCTCACCTTTCAGAACTTAAAATAGGAGGAGCTCACAATAGCAGTATAAAAAGAACAGGTACTTGTTCTAAGTATCAACTTGGCTAAGCATGAGAACCAAGCTGCAGAAAAATGCTTTCATGGAATGCTGACTTCCATTCAGAGGGATGGAAGTGCACACATAAAGACTGATCATGCTAATGGAAGTAATGGAACAACAGGCTACTTACTCTACACAACACACAGCCACTAAAAATGAAACACTGTGACATTTAATAACATTGAAAATGTATATGAATTAATTCATGAAGCATGTCAATCAAACAAAATCATACTCTTGTAGAGCAGCAGATTTCATCTAGACAAACAGTGGAGTTTAGCCTGAGTTTCAGGTACTACACACATCTTATTAGCTTAAAATAAATGTTGCTATAAGCGTCTAAAATAAAATTCAAAAATTTTTAACAAAAAAGCGTTAATTTACTATCAGTTGGATGAAACAACTATTCTTGATATTCATTGACTACTTGAACTCACAGGGAAGAAAGCACATCAAAATATTACCCCTTTCAGTTGTTTTCCTCTCTTATACAGGGCATTGAATTTTTATTCGGCAATGATGATAAAGTGTCTTAAAGAAAATATCAGATCGAAGTTACAGTGATCAAACAAAAACATTTAAAAAGTAGATTGGGACTAGGTTTACAGGATAAAAAGTATTTTCACAGATAGTAACAGCTAATTAATATATACCCACACAGCTAAGGAAAGAGTATTCTTTGATACTCAAAAGTTAAAGGTTTGCTGCAAAGAAATAAACAGACAACCTGTACTAGAAAAGAGAGCACAGGTGGAAGAAGCCCAGACAGTTACTGAGATTTAGCCTTGGCTTCTTCACGCTCCTTCAAATCAATGGTGGCAAGGTTGAGAGATGCAACAAAGCCATGAAGCAGAGAGATTCCGGTCTTCACCAACATGACAGGGAAAGAAAGGAGACAGATCACTTTCAGGATACTGATGCCAAACACTAAAGGAAGAAAACAAAGAGTTAATCAGTAAACCACTCTAGTAGAACAGTAACATCCAAATAAACAACAATGAACAAAAGAATGTACTTACGCAGTGGCCCCTCTGTGAAGTAAAGAAGGTAGAGACTCGCAAAGAAACCTTCATTGCCAGCACACATAAAGAAGAGAACTTTGCGGTCTGAGTAGTATCGATGCATGATAGGATTTTCAGACATATCAATAAATTTATGGCTTGTTTTGCCCTGCAGAGTTGAGCTGAAAAAGAGAAAACAATAATAATTGTGTTATAAATTTCCCTCCAAAGAGACCTAGAATCTAGAATTGGTAGTTTTGAAATTAGAACACTTACGAATGAAGGTAGATCCAGTGGCAAGAGATGTCAATTGCAATACTGACTTGGAAAAAGAACATGTAACTTGGGTAGAGGTAAGCCAGAGTGACCAACAACCCAGTAGTTCCACAACGGTCAGTCAACTGATCGAGCATTGCTCCAAATTTGGTCCCTACAATTTTAAATGTGCTATAATTCATTCAGGAAAAAAGGGAAAATGTTGAAAGTTAACATAAATTTTCTACAAACCTTGGTTCAGTTTCCTTGCAAAGTAGCCATCGAATACATCCAAAAATGCACTGAGCACGTAGCACCAGGTGGCAATGATGTAATTTGTTGTCATGAACACAAATGCCACAAGGGCCAGGACGATTCGGGCATAACCTGAGGAAACAGAAAACACTTCCACATTAACAAAGCAACCAAATTGCCATGTTGTTCAATGCTGGTCATTAAAAACTGTTTGGTATTCAGTTATAAAGCTCCACAAGTGTCCTCGGGTGGGACACCAAGGTGTAAGAGACTTCAATCTTTAAGAACCAACAGAACCAGTTAATTTGTTTTGATTGGAGGGTTGCGTTATCTTTGAGTAACAAACGAAACATTAATTTCTGTTTATCTTGCACTGTCAAAGAAGAAAATGAGCAATAAACGGAAGACTGTATCCTGCCACTTCTATGGCTTGAAACTGACTTTGACTTAAGAGCTGTGTCATAAATAACAGAACGCATTTACGGACAATGGCACGAACACAGGCAAATAATATTACCGATCAAGTTGGGGACGAACAGAAAGATGTTATCCTGGGCCTCCATCTTCTCGATTTTGGAGCTTTTCGCTTTTCTGACGGGGCGAACTGCGAAGTCTTCTCTAATCCAATCCAAATGTCAGCTGTCAGCTTGGTGCCCTTCAACACACACAGCAGAGACCGATCGATAAAAAGCCCGCGCCTTCGCTAAGAGCGCTGCACAGTCCAAAGCTTGGAGTTACCAAAGAAACGAGTGACACACCCGTTTTGGTACCCAAATTCAATGTTGTTGCGAAATGTGGGACGAAACCGAATATTTTGTGATAAACAAGCTGCCTGCCTGGAACGCACGGCTGCTTTATTTACAGGCCGTAGTTCGGACGATGGCCGCGGCGCTCTCGTCGCTCGTCGCTCGTCGCTCCCGCGGCCAGAAGGAAACGCGGCTGGTTCAAACGGAGCGCTCTTCTGTCCCGTCTCTCCCTACTGGACAGACGGAAACCGGACCTTCGTTGCTGGCAGTTTGTTCGGAAAAATTGTCATTCACCGCAGAAATCTAACAGGAACGATATGAAAGAATGGAAAGCAACAACTAGCAACATGCGCAACAAACAAAAACTTTAAATTTTCCGCAGACAACTACACGTTTCTTCCTTGCGGCTTGCCAAAAGGGTGATGGCTTCGCTGATTTCGGCGTCGGTGAAAGCAGAGGATTACAGAGTCGGTTCGGTTAACGACGCAAACAAATGAGACGAGACGCGCGCCGCGTAACGCTAGAGAGCCGGACGGGTGTGGCGCGCCACGCGGAGACGTCGCGGCTCATCGTCGGCGTGCAATATTGCGGGGCGGAGCGTGCAAGTGGAATTGCATCGCCCGCCTTATTGCATCGTGTGACCGGAGAAATGCCGCCGAGAGCGCCAACCGCGCTGCAGCATAGGCTGATTCCGCACAGTCGCCCCGTCTCTCTCGCACTCATAGGGAGGGGCGACCCGCATAATGGGTGCGAGGGAGACGGGGCGAGCGGCGGAGCACCGTTCGGACTGGCACGGCATGGCACGGCTGCTGCTGCTGATGCCAATATTGCGGCCGTCGTGTGCCTCCAGCCTTTAGCCCGCGGCGACGCGGCGCCAGCACAGTCAGACTTCCGCCTGCAAAGTGCTCTGCAAGGAATCTGAGAATCGGCAGACGCGAGCGGCAAGGGGTGGGGCTCTGCGTTTTCATTTTCGCGAATGCAGAATGAAGTCATTGTGGCGTTAGAATGAGGACCTCCGCGAATGACTGTCGGGTCAGGCTCAGTTTTGACGCGCTGAAGACACACGGCCTGGCTGGGTTGGCTGGATTGGCTGGGCCAGGACCAGGCTGGACTTCCCTCGCCGTAACTCTCGAGCCTGGCACCGTTCCGCGCCATGCTGCCGCTGACTGCCCTATTCGTATTTCGCCTTATTGTTCTTGACTATGAATGAGCCGGCCTGTGCCGGGCCGTCCGCCTGTCTGTCTGTCTGCCTGTCCGCGGCCGCCCGTCCGTCTGCGCGCTGCGCTGGGTCGTGCGCGGCGGGTCGCCGTGCTGGCAGCCCGCTGGCCGCGTCCGCCGAGGCCGAGACCCCCGTCTCGCTCGCACCCACGCGGCGGCCGCACGCGCGCGACGGAGAGGGCGCGCCTCGGACGCGCGGCGGCGTGGTGGGGCGTGGCGGCGGCGGGGCGTGGGGGGCTAGGGAACGGACAGGTAGGCAGCAAGCAAGCAGCCAGCCAGCCAGTCTGCTTGTGCTCGCCGCCGCTCTGCCCAGGTGCGCCGCGCTGCGCCGCGAACCGTTCGACGCCGAGCCTTTGTGTCGACGCGTCGTCGCGCCGTCGCCGCGTCCCCCTTCTTCACCTCGGCGAGGATCGCGTCCTCCGCGCGGCGGGGCTGGCGGGGGCACGCAGCGCGCGGGTCATGGGGAAGTGACCCACCGACCAGGCCGTCCAGGCCCGCGAGCAGCAGGTGTCAGTGCAGCCATCTTGGCCTCCTAACCTCACCTCAGTGCCAGTGACAGGACCTCCGCCAAGATGGGCTCCAAGGTGGAGTACGTCGAGTCCTCGCAGATGTACGCCACCAACTACGTGAGGAACTCGAGGGCCATCGGCGTCCTCTGGGGCATCTTCACCATCTGCTACGCCATCATCGGCGTGGTGGCGTTCGTCACCCCGGAGTGGATAGGTGGGTGCCGTGACCCCGCGGCGCCCCGCGGACTGCGGCGGCCCGTGCTTACCTTCACCTTGCGCTCCAACAATCCCCCGCGCTGGAACCAGCGCGCTGGCCTTTAAACTTTTAACTGCCGCCTGTTCACACTGCACTTACATTCTGTAACATTTGCCGCGTTACGGTTCCGCATTATCTTGGGCGCGTGATCCCCGAGCCGCGCCGCGCTCCAGTTAATGCCTGCTCCACACCCGGCCGGCCGAGCAGACCAAGCAGGCCTAGCAGCAGCCTCAGCTTCCGTTCGGTAATTTGCCTGGCAGAATGATCGCGGATAGCGGCTCTAGCCGCTCTCGATGCCATTTCGCTAAACGGCTTCACTCTTTGCTCGGCGGCCTGCGCAGCCCCGCCGCTAATGCCCCGGTGCGGCTGGAAGGCTGCTGCACTGCAACAGGAGTTGCATGGGGTGGGCGGGGTGCGGGAGAATGTGGCGGCGCGGCGTGGCGGCGGTTCGACAAGCCAAGGCTGTCTTTAACCGCCGTGTGCCCCGTGCGGCCGCGCGGCCGTGCCCCGGGAAAATGGAGCACGCCGATTAGGCGATTGGTGGCAACCCCTCCCCCTGCCCCGCCCCGCCCCTCCAGCGCCGCCTCCACCTCCCACACCTCCCACGTCCGCGACCGCGGCGTCCTCGGCGTACCCGTGCGAACGATGGGATCGACCGGGCCGATCACGAGTGCCATTGCCGTTTTGTTTTTGTCCGCGACCTCCTTGGAACTGCAGCCTGCACTGGCTGGCCAGTGTGAATGAGCATTAGCATCTAGCATGTATGCCGAGGTGCACCTAGAGGGTGCGAGCGAGTCTGGTCGGCAGACTGATCCACATGGTGGTTGTCGTTCGCTCTGTCTCTCTCGCCATCATGGCGGGTGGTCGAGGTGCGAGAGAGACGGGTTTGGAATCAATCCGCTTGTCGAGTCCTCGCGTAGTATTATCTCCTGGCCGCCGCCGGCCGACGCGAACCTCCCCGGGAAGGACCTGAAGGACCCTCGACCCCCGCCCTGGCTCCTGCGTTTAGGTTCCAGCGAGGCATCGTCCGAAGGATGTCGCCCTGTCTGCCCACTCATGGGGTGCGAGAGGGACAGGGCGATGAAGCTACACGGCACGCGTGACAGCCCCGCGCCCGCGACGCGACGCGGGCAAAAAAGCATACAACGAAGGCCGTGGCGCCACCGTGCTTTCCTTGACGGAAACGTCACTGCCAACTCGCTTTCATCGGGAGAACAGTCGTGCCTGATTGTGATGCGGAGAGGACGAGCGTGGTCTGCGTGAGCTGATGGAAGAAGTGCGGAAGAAAGTGGCGGCCAGATAGAGGATGGGATAGCGATAGACGGCCTCACGGCCCGATGGCCGGACGGATAGACAAATAGTGGCGGCAATCGGATTAAAGCAAGAGTGCCTCGTCGCGAGCGGGGCGGGGCGAGGCACGCCGCGCTATGGTGCCACGTCGGGCCAAAACGGCCGTAATGACGAATATTATTATGATGAGAATGGGGTGTGGGCGGGGTGGGGCGGGGCAGGGCGTGCGGCCCGGGGCCTTGGCCACGCCATGGCTCAGCGACTCTGGCCTGTGCCGTCGTGCCTATGCGAGCTGCTTACCCCGACTCCGACTCGGCATGTTTTGGAGGCGCACGGCGGGCACTGTAGGGCTGTGACTGGCATCACAAGTAATCCAGTCTAATGCCGAATGCCCGCCGCGCTCAGTCTGTGCACTGATTCCGAGAGTCGTCGCTCTATCTCTCTCGCACGTCTCTCGGCGTCCCCTTATGGGTGCGAGAGAGACAGAGCGACGAAAACGACTCTCGGAATCAGTCTGCTGCACACGGTCCACGGCGGGGTGGCGCCGGACCGGCCGGACCGCGGTGCACGTGGTCACGTGGTCGGTGGCTCCACGTGTTCCCACCGCGAAGGGCCGCGGCCGGGGCTTGGTCGGGGCCGTGGCTCCACCTTGCACGTTGCGGCACCATTTTCGCGCTGGGCTGGCCGGGGCGGGCCGTGGCGGGTCTCAGCCCGTTCTCACGAGTCATGGAGTGCATGCAGGCAATGCGCATGCGTGGGTACTACAGACTACACTGCCAGGACGCGTTTCTCGCTTCTTGCTCGGACTGGAAAGTCTAAACCGCCTACTGCAAGGACTAATGTCTGCTTCTTCTTCTGCAGGGGACACCCAGGAGTCGGAGTACCCGGCGCGCTTCGGCCTCTGGAGCAGCTGCTACTTCCGGTCGTCCGACGCGGGCGCCCCGGGGGCCGTGGGGTCCGCGGGGGCGGCGGGGGCGGCGGCCGCCGCCAGCGGCCTGTCCGCGGGGGCGGAGGACTGCCGCGGCCGCCTGCACGAGCTGGGCTCCATCCCGTCGGCGGCCTGGAGGGCGGCCACCATCTTCGTGGGGCTGTCCGTGCTGCTGGCCGCGCTCGCCATCGTCTCCATGCTGCTCTTCTTCTTCCTCAAGTCCACCACCGTGTTCCACGTGTGCGGCTGGATGCAGGTGCTCTCAGGTGAGGCCCGCGGCGAACACGGCTTTCGTCGCTCTGTCTCTCTCGCACTCATGGGGCGTTCCCTACGGGAGCGAGAGAGACAGAGCGACAAAGCGCTGTCCGGAATCAGTCTGCTGCACAGCTGGTGCTCCCTCCCCGTCGGTCACGCCGGCCGTAAAACACTTTAGTCCGCAAAGTCACCGGCCCGGCGACACTTTCGCTTCCCCGTCAGCGTGATTGAGGCTCGTGCAGGTGTCGCGTTGCTGCCGCGGTGTCAAACTGCAGTCCGCAGCCGTGGAGCGGCGCGGTTTGTTTACACTTTATACACCTTGCCCAGCAGAGCAGATCAAAACAGACAGCAATTAAGTCTCTTCGGGGACTGTCACTCAGCAGCGCGAGGGGGTTGCCTATCCGCCGCGGCGCTCGAAGCAGAGTGAAGGAGCAAAGGACGCCCATAGTTTTGAGTGCGACAGAGACGAAACGCCTGTCTGCAGGGGCGTTATGAGTGGGACAGAGACAGAGAAGAAACGTCTGTCCGCAGGGGCGCGTGCCCGGCCGTGGCGGTCCCTTTTAGTGGTGGCACGCGCCCACGCACGGCCACACGCGCCGAATGGCTGCACGCCAGGCAACAGACAGGCAGACAGCCAGGCAGGCAGCAGGCAGCCAGCCACGCCGCGGGGGCAGACATGCAGAGCAACGGGTCGCGGTGCTTCGCGGTGTGTGTCCCTCGGGAGTCCGGTTGGCTGCTGGCGCTGCTGGTGCTGTTTGCTCGCAGGGAAAGGAGGGCTGGCCATGGCTGCCATGCCTGGCGAGGCGAGTCACCGCAAAGCGTGCCGGCCGGCAGAGAGTCCGGGCGGGGCGGGGGGCGGGGGGCGGGGCGGGGCGGGGCGGGGTGGGGCGAGGCTCGATATTCGGGATGGAATGTCGGCGCCGATTGGTGGGCAGCCGCGGCCGCGGGACTTTCCTCCAGCTCCAGGCTCCGGACTCCAGGCTCCAGACTCCGGAAAGGTGGGTTCGCAGAGGCTGCGCGGCGAGGGCGGGAACTCAGCACTCCCGGTCAATGATTGTTCAAGTAGCCTTTTTGATGCCCCGCCCAGGGTGCGATTGCCTACAGTCGTTTGGGAAGCGGCGGTGCCTGGAAGTCGATCAAAATGCAGACGGATGTCTTTGGAGGACCGCTGCCTCCAAACGCTTGTGGGTGCGGGTGGTCTTGAGGCCTTCCTCCCATGTTCTTCATCGGGTATGCGATTGAGAACACTAGTTTGGGAGCTTCACCGCGGTTCGGGCCGGACTCCGCGTCCAGGTCCGCAGTCGCGAAGTTGGTTTTCGGGCGCCTCAGCGCCCCGGCACGACAAGCCAGCCGAAGCCCAGGCCGGCGCGGCGTCGTCGGGCACCGCGAGGCGGCGCGGGGCCGCGTCAAGCGCCTCGCGTGCCTCTCGGGAGCGAGAGAGACAGGGCTATGGGCGTCGCGGCGCGCGGGAGCGAGAGGCAGCGTCGCTGTGACGCAAGGTAACGGGACGGCGTGCCGGCCCGGCCCAGCCCGGCCCAGCCCTGCTCGACCCGACCCAGCCGGGCAACGGACCGCTGTGCCGAGGGGGCCGAGCCCCCCCCCCCCCTTTTTCCGATGTTCCCCTGCACTTCCGTCCCGCCGGCTGGTTACCATAGACGCGTACGAGGCACGGGCGGCCGCGACTCCCGATCACCGTCCAGCAGACTGATTCCGAGAGCCGCTTTCGTCGCTCTGTCTCTCTCGCACCCATACGCGACGCTCCATGAGTGCGAGAGAGACAGAGCGACGAAAACGACGCTCGGAATCAGTCTGCTGTCTGTTCTGTCGGTCCTAGCCGCGCTGCAGCCTGCAGCAGGCTGTATCCAAAACGCGCCGGCTAAAAGTCAGCAGGGCTCTCGTTGCCCGGCGTTGCCCAACCCGCCTGCCGCCGGCCAAGTGACGGACTGCACGACCACGACGGCGCACCGCGCTCAGCGTCTCAGTGAAGGGAAGGGAAGGGGCCGCTGAAATGTCAGCCTGGGGCTGGCCTGAGCCTGGGCCTGAGCCTGGGACCGGGCCTGGCTGGCATCAGTGGCATCGAGACGAGCTGCAGCTTCGCCCGCAGTGGGGCCAGGGAAGACCCGTGGAAGGCGGGGGGCCCAACCTAGCGCGTTTTGAGCTCCGAGTCCCCTGAACGGACTCGAAACGAACTGTAACCGCGCCAAGGGACCACGCGGGAGGAACCAGGAGGGATCCCTTCCTTCGTCCCTTTAGCACCTGCCAATGACGCCCTCGTTTAGTTGGTCGTCCACGGGGGTCCACGGCGCCGGACCCCCTGCCGCCGCCAGGATACCGTCCCGTCGAGCACACGTGCGGGCGGGCGGCCTACCCGCGCGTCGCACGGCGCTCCGAGTCCGCGGTCCGGGACTCTGCACTGCACACTGCACTGCGGCGCGCGGGGGACGCGGGACGCGGGACGGAACGGCAGGCAGGGCCTTCCCTTCCATTCCCTTCCCTTTTCACCTTGCCAATGACGTGGCCGTAGTGAGCGGTCGTGACGGGGGCGCGCGGCGCCGTCGAAACGCAATGCTGTAAACACACCGCCAAAAAGAAATCAACAAGAATTTCAATAAAATTAGAGGGAAGCAAATTCTTTATTCTCGACAGCGGTTCATTTAAAAATCTGTGAATTGTCCGAGCGGCTCTTTAGGGTCAAACCAAACCCAACCAAACCCACGACTTTGGGAAATCTTTTCTCCTTAGGTTCGACTCTAGTTTTTCCGCAGTGCACGTCTAGCTAGCTGCCCTGTGCGGTAGTTCCCCCCGCTGCGCTTTGTCTCTCCTCGAGTAAACATGTGGGTTTGTGGCGGGGCGAGGCGAGGTGAGGCGAGATGCACCTGTCTGAAATCAGTGATTCGTGGCCGGCTAGGCCTAGGCGCTGCTGCCGCTGCTGCTGCTCGCCTCTATTCTGGTCTGGTGGCATTCCATTATCCGATGCGGTCTGCACGCGCGCACACGCACACACACACCACACACACACACACACACTCGCGGATGCACGCTGGTGCCTTTCCGGGAAACGGATTGGCCGCCGGCCGCCCCGGAGTTTTTGTCTCAGCCGCCCTGGCGGAGCCGGGCCGAGCCAAGCCGCGTTCAGCAGAGCGATTCCGAACAGTGCTTTCGTCGTTCTGTCTCTCTCGCACTCGTGGGAGTCCCCCGCACGGGTGCGAGAGAGACAGCGGCGGCGGCGTTCGGGATGGCTGTGCAGGAAAGCGGGGCGCGTTGAGCCCGCACCTACACTGGACGCCCTACGAGTGCGAGAGAGACAGAGCGACGAGAGCGTTCTTCTTCGGAATCACCCTCCTGGTGCAGCCCCGCTCCGACCTCCACCTCCGCGACGTGGTGCCTGCACTCGGTAACGATTGGCGGCGTGGGGGGTGGTCGCGGGACATTGCGCCAGGCGCCTCCCCTTGACGCGTGGCTGGCTGGGCTGGCAGCAGGCTGATTCCGAGCACTGCTCGTCGCTCTGTCTCTCTCGCACCCTTGCGGGACGCCCCATGAGTGCGAGAGAGACAGAGCGACGAAAGCAGTGCTCGGAATCGGCCTGCTGGCTAGGCGCCGTGCCGGCTGGAGGCCCCGAAGGCCCTGGCGGCGGCGGCATGGCGCTGAGGTGAGCGATCGGGCTGAAGCAGAACGTGAAGGTCGGCCACGGCGCCAAGGCGCCACGGCTCGGCGGACGAGGAAAGGCTGCAGCGGATCAGACGCGATCCGATCCAATAATGATCCAGACCGATCCGGGGCGGGGCGGGGTGGGGCGGGGCGTGGCGGGCGTTACGAGGCACACCGCACCGCGCCGACCGCGTGCCGTATGCCGGCCTACGTATTGCACCACAGAGCGAGATCGCCTTCCTGGGAGGGCCTGCCCTACACTACTACCGACTACTACAGCGGCACAGCCCGCAGGGCCGCTTTGATTTTTTTTGCTCTGGGCCCTTTGCCAGCCCCTTTTCCAAATCGGCATCGAGGGGCAGTGTTACGACGCCGTAGTGGTCAGCGGATCTGTGCAACACTTTCTTCTTTGCAACGCGGCGTGCGTCACCCACGCCCACCCGGCAGAGTGATTCCGAGAGTCGTTTTCGTGTCGCTCCGTCACTCACACACCCATACGCACGCGGTGCCCATGAGTGCGAGAGAGACAGAGCGACGGAAACGACTCTCGGAATCAGTCTGCACTGCAGAGAAAGAGAGGAGGATAACGACAGAGACGTAAACAGAATTCTTTAGAACAAAGTGTGTGTTGGGTGGGGGAGTGCAACACGTAGCCGGTAAATGGACTTCCCCGTGCAGTCGATGGCTCCTGATCCGCGGCTCCGCGGCGCTTCGCTCGCGAGTCCGTCCCGTTTTCTCGCTGGCTGCTCTGCCTGCTCTGCCGTCACGACTGTCGCGTCGCGTCGTCTGTCGTCCTGTCGTCGCGCTGCCTGCCGCCGGGAACCGCCGGGCTGCCGTTTGCGGGTTGTGTTTAATTGAGGCGGCTTGACGCTCCGCGCTCGTGGCAATGCCTGCTCCTTTCTCTGTTTCTGCTTTCTCAAAACGGGGTCATCCTCTTCGTGCGCCGCGCGCTGTGCGCTGCCACCGCTCCTCCGCGTTCTGCTCCACGCCCCCGCCATGGCCGCCCTGGCCGCCCTGGCTGTCGAGCGATTCAGAAGAGTCCTACCGCCGCTCTGTCTCTGTCGCACTCCGTGGGGATTCTGCATAAGGGTGCGAGAGAGACAGAGCGACGAACGGATTCTCTGAATGGCTCGGTTGGCGCGCTGCCGCGCGCTGCGGTGACGCCCTGCAGTCCCATTCGCTGTCCCCCTCGCACCCACGGGGCTCGAGGGGGTCGTGCGGGAGAGACAGAGCGATGAAAGCACTGTTCGGGATCATCAGCTTAGTCGCCCCCGTGTCAAGCACTGTCGTAACGGGGGCGTGGCGGGCGGGGGCGGGGGCGGGGCGGGGCGGGCGGGGCGGGGCGGGCGGGGCGGGCGGGCGGGGGCGGGGCGTGGCGGGGCGGGGCCGGCTCCACCATGTGTGACATCACTCTCTGTGCCTTGTCGACCGCCGCGGCAGGCAAAAGTGCGTCCTCCGGGTACTCGAACCTTGAACCTTGACCTTGCCTGTTGCAGCCGTGTGCATGGTGGTGGGCGTGGTGACGTACCCGGCGGGCTGGGATGCCCCTGAGGTGCGGCAGACCTGCGGGCCGCGCGCCAACCGCTTCGAGCTGGGCGAGTGCGGGCTGCGCTGGGCCTACCTGCTGGCGGCCATCGGCTGCCTCGACGCCGCCATCCTGGCCGCCCTCGCCTTCATCCTGGCCACCAGGCACGTCCGCCTGCAGCCCGACCCCGGCTACGGCGGCTCCCTCTACAAGGGTAAGCGCAACACCTACGCTCAAGGCGGACGCGTTTTTGAGCTTCAGTCACTAAACGGGACTCGAACTGAACATGTGACCTCCACCAATGGATTGCTCTCCGAACGAGGAATCCATTGGTGGGGTCACAAGCTCGGTTCGAGTCCTGTTTAGCGACTCTGGAGCTCAAAACGCGTTCAGAGTTTTGGCCGCCGGCGCCCGTCTTCTGGCCCCCTATGCTCCGTCGCGCTGTCTCTCGCAGCCCTAAGGAACGCCTGAAGAGGAACGCCCGAAGAGTGCGAGAGAGACCGAGCGACGAAACGTTTCCTCGTCAGCCTGCTTCACGGTCGCTCTCTGTTCGCAGGCGAGGTTAACAACGGCTTCCTGAGCGACGCGCAGTCCGTGTCCGGGTCGCGCAAGTCGCTCAACCTGCACCCCGTGCTGCTGATGCCTCAGCCGCAGCACATGGGCATGGGCCCCGGCCACCTGATGCACCCCGGCGCCGACACGGACCGCTTCTCCGAGTTCTCCAACCGGACGGGCCGCTCCAAGTCGTCGGCCTACCGCGCCGAGTACGCCTCCAGCATCCAGAACTTCCAGCTGTAGCAGCAGCTGCAGCAGCCGCAGCAGCAGTGGCCCGAACGCGCGTCCGTTCGGCACGAACCATTATTGATCTGATTTCTTCCTTTTTGCGCGCGCCCGTCGAAGCGCCTGGCACACTGCGAGGCTAGCCCGTGACACCTGCGTGTCAAGCGGGCGGCCTACCCTCGTCCCGGCAGGCGCTTCCCGTCTACCGTCTCGAGGTTTGAGGACCGTGAGGACCGTGAGTCCTTACGTCGGACATCTTGTCTTGCATCTTGTTGCGCAACGAAAAGAACCGAAAACGTCATGTTCACGTTCCGACCATGTACCGACTCCAATAGCTCGGAGAGAAAGCGTGAACTTGTACTAACGATATGTCATTGAAGTAGTTGGTGTGAATTGCGTCTCAATTAGACTCTTATGGAATGAATGTGAAGGAGGATGCGCATTTCATGGAAGTCTGATCATTGCCATTAATCAAGGGTTTGCTGACTGACATGTTGACTCTGATTTTTGGCTCCTCTGCATCAAAAACATTTTATAGCTCTTTTACCATGGAATTATTGTTATTATATTGTCTTAATTTAACTTTTGTAAAATATATACCTGCTTTAAGCAATTTTGAATCTCCTTTTTCCTCAAACCAACAGCAACAGGGCACAATTTAAGTACAACAGAAATTTGGATTTTAATGTTTTATTCATGTTTGACAAGATAGTCACATCAATGGTTTTCAATGAAGAAACATAACACTTATGAGAGTAAATTGTAGAAGACACATATTTAAAAGTCACACAGGTAAAGAGGCAAAGGAAACTTAATTTCCTTCCCATTGTCTTTCTAATCTGAAACTCGATTTTCTTCCAATTGTATTTCTAATCTTTCCTTTCCTACCTTTCTAAGAATGATTGCTAGGCTAGCCACATCAATTTTTTTTTCAAACAAAGAAACATTACAACAGGGAAAGTAAATTGAAATAGTCAAGTAGACAACTATCAGAAGTCACACACACATTAATAAATCTTGGTTTTCTTCTACTTTTCTAACTGATCTTGATTTTCTTCTACATTTGATTCTAATCTTGATTTCAACCCCTCCTAAGGAAACCATCCTGAAATGCACTAGGAGAGCATCCTAATTCACTTGGGCACTAGGGAGTTAGGACGACTTTCTTAGGAGGGGTAGATGTTCTTATCATTCTAACTATACTAGGTAATTCAGATCAGCCACGCATTAAGGTAAGCATGCAGTTCCACCAATCACGTCCGCACCAATCCTCCTGGCCTACCATAAGACTGTGACTCTGCCTCTGCCAGGAACAGCGTGTGACTGCAAGCTACCAAAGATGCACAGCAGAACTGAATTAACATTGAAATACTGAAATGGTATTTGGCAAGCTAGACACATCAATAGTTTTCAAACACGAAACAGTAAAGAGGGTAAAATTGTCAGAGACATATGTTTTGAAATCACACAAACAACGTGCTTTATGAATCGTAATTTTTTTTTAGATCTTGGTAACTTTTTCATAACTGCAATCACTCCATTTTTTGTTTATGACCTGAAGAGCTGGGGGGTGTTTGAGAGCTGAGGTCCTCAGAGCCCTAGCAACAAAAATTTTACAAAGTTCATTAGTTGTACACTTTGAAGCTTTGACAGAAAATGAAATAATTCACTACAAGAAGGAGTGTCATAAACTCACCTTTGAATTCTCATTGTTTGCACCAGTGGCAGAGTTGGAACCATTAGCAGAGTTTGGCTGAGTTTGGCAGGCATGTAGAAGCGTGTGTTCCTTGGCACTCCTTTCAAATTCTTTCTTGTCAGTTACATATTGGCGTGCCTAAATATTGCAGTGACACAGACATTTAGAACAAACTTGTAATTATTAAAGTGGAAAAGTCTCAGAAATTAAGTTACTTACAATACCATCCATGAGTGGATCATCTGGATTTGGAGTTGCCATCAGTGATTGAATTGCAAGAAGAACACCTTCAATGGTGACCACTGGGCGCCAGCAACCAGTTGGGGGTAATTTCAAGAGCTCCAGGCAAATACGGCCACTGGTATCGATATTAGGATGATAGACTGGGGTCTTGAAGCGAACCATGGGTGGCTCATATGGATATCTGCAATATGGAATTCCAATTGTCATGCAGATTGAGGTAGGAAATAAAAAAAAAATCTTAATGGTCTCATTTATATTTACCGGTCAGTGATAGAGACGTCTAGTTTAAACACCCCAGATTCGTATGGAGTTCCAGCCAATCCTATTATAGCTGAAAACATAACATTGCGATAATGAACAGGTGAGTTGTCCAAAGCTGTAAACCTTCAAATGAGACAAATAGACGGTCCTATAGATCGGCTGAGAATGAATTCGTTCATGGAAAATTCCAGTACAACCAAAACAAGTTAAAATTTAGATATAAGAAGATCATTTCAGTCAAACATGTTGATCTGAGTCAATCATATAGTTTTGTAGGTTACTAACTCACGCATAGAATCATTGACTCCAGAATTCTCCAGGAACGAATATTCATTGAGCACAAATAAAGAAAGTCACAGAAGTGTTGGTTCAAGCAATCATGACTTACTGGCTCGGAGTTCCAATACGTTATCTTCGCTGATCGGACACAATGAGATTCCCGCTGGAGGCTGTTTCGCGATTCTCTCCAGTTCCCGCTTAACACGGACATCTTTCTTCGCCATTTAGAATGCCACTCTATCGGGAAACTGCGTCAAGAGTTGACTGAACGCTTCAATCTGCGCGTCAAACTGAAATATGGAGGCAATCGATGAAAGCAAATTGGTTTACAAGACCTACAAGACACACCATTCAAAATTTACACAATGTTTTTCCCGCACAACTTTCTCATAACTTCGAGATGGCGTCTGCTTCTGCTTCGATAGTTTACGACGGCGACGCGGCTTCGGGATTGTTTGGACAACAAACTGTGTATTCGCTCTAAATACATTGGCGATACTCCGACGATTGGCAAATATTCTGAACGGAGAGACCATCAGTTCTGTGGTTTCGTAAGGTAACTTGAATTTTGTACCGCTATCATTTCCTTGCTTGGACGGTTGTCTGTATGTGCAGGTTATGTTTCTCTAGTTCATGTTTTCCGTAATGTTTCCGACTGAACGCGTTTCTTCCCTTTTCTGCGCCTCCAAGCCAAAACTAGTTTGGTGCTTGTTTGATTTATTTCCATGCGTCTGCCTGGTAGGTACCATGTCACTCTATGACGACGTCGACGCCATCAAACAGAAGAACGACCCGGTTGCAGGCTGGTCCTCTGGAATTAAGCTTTTTCAATCTCAATTACAATTAAAAAAGGCTGCTCAGACTCAGGTAACTTCACCTTGATTCTGGACCTATTTTCCCATTCACCATTTTATGAGCGTAATGAGTTACTCTGGTACACGAGGTAAAACTGTCTGCTAGCTTCCTTCCAATATTTTGTATTGTTTCTTTTCAGCCCAAAAGAGACCAAACTCGAAGAATAGGAGGATCGGTCTTACCTCCTGTAATCGACCTGAAAACCAAAAAAGATGATGATGATATATTTGGAAGTGTTCACTCAAAGGTATGCATGAATTCGGGACAAATCTGCTCCTAGTTGCTTATAATACATCTGAGATTCTAAATGCAACTGCTAAATCCCTTATAACTTTACTTTAGCCTGTTTCATCAAACCGCGATGACTGGCAAGTTGAGGGAGAGTATGACCCTACGTGGCCAAATGATTATGAAAAGGTGATCATAGGTAAGAGAATATCAATTTTATTATTGTGTATGTTCAATGTACTTAAATTTTATAGCAGGTTTTATTGTATTTCAGAACTGAAAGAAAAACGTGAGCGTGAGAAAGTTAAGGAAGATGATGATAGAAGGAAACGAAGGGGTGAAATTCCAAGACCTCGTGAAGGGTAAGTCTGGTATAGTTTATTTATGATTTAGGCAAGCCCTCAGTCACTCTAGAAAAATAAGTTAAATTTATTTCACATTGTTTTCATGCAGACGGTTTGAAATGTCTGAGTTACCTCGACCTATGGAAGAGGAGGAAGAAGACAGTGAACGCACTGAGCGAGTGTCAAATCTTGGTTCTACTCCAAGGAGTGGTGGCGCAGCCATTGCTCCACCACCTTCCTTGCAGGAGTCCAGCCCTGCTCCAGAATCACCCTCAGGACCCAAGCCTGCCCCATCATTTGGCGGTGGCTCAGTTGCAGCAAAAATTATGGCCAAATTTGGTTACAAGGTTTGTACTCGTTCCTTTTTGCCTTGCTTCTCTTTTGTGTCAGCTGGATATGGTTTTATGGAAAATCCTTTGATGCAACATAAAATTGGTTTCAATTTTTCATTGATTTACAGGAAGGGCAGGGTCTTGGAAAAAAAGAGCAGGGCATTGCAATGGCTCTGCAGGTAGAGAAGACAAGTAAACGAGGAGGCAGAATCATCCATGAAAAAGAAATGATGCCTCCTCCACAATTTGCTGTACCTGCTGCTCCAGCCTCCATGTCTCAAGCTGCAACCACTAGTACACACCAGACTCCTGAACCATCAATAACGGAAATAATGAGACAACCCTCGAAAGTTGTTCTACTCCGGGTAAGTAGACCTCCTCCTCAATTCATTTTTACTTTTGTAAAATTACTTGAAAGATGGTACCAATCCATTGTTCCCTCTTACTCCAGAATATGGTGGGTCCTGGTGAGGTTGATGAAGATTTGGAACCAGAAGTTAAAGATGAGTGTAATACTAAATATGGTGATGTTATCAAAGTTGTCATTTATGAAATTCCAAATAACCCTGCTGATGAAGCAGTTAGGATATTTGTTGAATTCAAGCGTATGGAGTCTGCCATTAAAGGTATATATACATATCAGTTCTAAACAGGGATTTGTTGTTTAAATTGTTCCAATTAAACTGTAACATTTTATTTTTCAGCTGTGGTTGACTTAAATGGAAGGTTCTTTGGAGGACGGCAGGTGAAAGCTGGATTTTACAGTTGGGACCGGCTTCAGGCTCTTCAACTTTTAGACTGATTACTTTGTATTGTATTTTATTTTATTAAATTAGTTATTAAAAAAATGAGAAACAAAAGGTTTTTATTGTTTCCCTAACATTTTATCACAAGCCGTATACATTCTTTAACCTCTTTCACACCAGGTGTTTTTCTGTCCGTGCATTAATAAAGATTCAAAGGAACTACGTAATATGACCCTTTTAGGTATGAGTGAGATGGGAACAAAATAATTACATGTATAACAAAATTTTAACATGCTTCACAAATTTGTTACAAAAGAATAATAAATCCTGTTAGGTTAACAAACAGGAATCTTTCTTCAAACAGTTAGCTGATAAATAAAATCGACAGAAAAGCAAACAAGACTGCCATAACTTACATCCTAAAGGCAAATTATTGCATCTGTTGGATAAGACTCATTAAGATTTGGAACCTGCTGCTGATCTGAAAAAAAAGAACATAAATACAAAAATAAAATACAAAAATCAATAAATCTTAATACACATTTTAAGCAAAGTCTAGGACAAAACTGAATTACCTCATCTAAAGTCCTGTGGGGCAGCTGTGAACTAATTTTTGTAAGAGTCTTCATTTTATCAGGTTCAGATTGGAAGGTGCATAGAATGATTCGATCCTCGTCCCGAGTCCAGATAGCTCCTTCAGCATCATCTTTTGATTCTACTTCATTGTCACAGCTAAAGTTTGCACCAGATATTTTTACATTGTCTTCAGTGCCCTCATCTGTTTCACTAATTGCCACATCTTGTGGTGCATCTTCCTCAATTTTCACATCTTCTTTTTCCCCTTCCTTCTCATTTTCTATGTTTATCAATTTGGTTGTTATATTTTCCATAACAATATCACAATTTGAGACATCATCTGGGATATCTTCCTGTTTTACAACATCCTCTTCAACCTCCATAGCAGGTGCATGGGTACTTTGTTCTGCAGTGCCATTGTTTTTATTTGAACCTTGTTCCTCTCTTGTATCTTTGTCCTCACTTGTCAGTAGCATATTTGAAAACATAGGAAATTCAAGAACTGGAGGTTTGTCTTCTTCGCTTGAAAGGGGGACTGCCATTGCCTCTTGGTCATTTATTAATAGAGGCGGAGAGGAACCCATTTTCGCATTAACTGGTTTGCGAGGACATCCAACTCTGTTTAATGACAAAGACTTTGGAGTGGTTGTCTTTTCACCTGGTGGTTTTGAGATTTTAGGTCGCTGACGAGGAGATTTTACTTTAGTAAATGCTGCTTCATCATCAGTCTCAGCGCCTTGCTTTCCATCGTCTGGTTTGGAAGCCATCTAAGACAAAGTGAAAAGGCAAATGAAATGGTTACTGTTTCCAACAAAGAGGAGTCAACAATTAGAACAAGAGCCTCATAGTACCTGAGATAACCGTCCGCGGCGCGATCGGGTGCGAGAAAGTTTTGGGTGATCCCCTTTAAGTCGTTTAATATGGCTACTCATAGATCCACCAGGGAAATCTATTCTTACTGGTCGTAGTCCATGATCCGTTTGCATAAAGATCTTGCCAGCTATAAACTGTTCACAGAAAAATGTTTTAAAATGTTAAATTTATAATACATGGATTTGAAGATTGAAGAAATAAAAATATAGTTATTTGATACCTTGATGCCACAACCTCTACAGTGTTTGGTACGATTACTAAAAGTAGGGTCATTAGAGTCATGACAACAGCATTGGCAATGTTCTCCACCAAAGGGATCGTCATTTTCTGGAGGGATCTCCACTCTTTCAAAAGTTTCTTCCTCACCAGAATATTCACCATCCATATCTTCACAGCGGACTAAGTCAAAGTCTGTAATTTTGCTTTGGAAACACAAGGGCATTGAGTTACTCATATTTTGTACTAATACATGAAACTAATGATTTACTTAGTTTCAAAAGAAATATTACCTTTCAGGAGGCTGTTCTGATGGTAAAAGTCCAAGGAAGGATTCAACTAAGTACGAGTTACCCCGTAGTAAGGGTAAAATAGTACTACGCACCGTCTCTAATGTTATGTCAGGAGTTTCAATCAGGCGCACAATGCTTGCTTGAACCTTTCTTAACTGTTGTGGTTGCTTGGCAAAACAAACCTAAGAAACAGGAGACAGCTAATAAATGAGAATACATTACAATTACAATGTCATAAAATACTTCCAAATAAGTTGAACTATACCTCGAGCTTCCGCAAAAATGATGACATTTCTGTGAGTGCTAAATGTTCCATAAATTTGCCACACTGTATGGCTTGCTTTGGCAGAAGAAATAACAAGAATTCTTCGCCAAGATCAGGCTGTTCTTCAAATAAATTAATTACTCTGTGGTACAGGTCGGTGACACTTTGAGTCCTATCCAGTTCATTCACCAGCTCCATAAATTTAGAAAATTGAGGCCCGGAATCATATCTTTCCCTTATCTTTCCAATATAGGATGCAGCAAATACTAAAATGAATAAAGGTTACAGGAAAACATAAACATCAGAACCAAGGATACACAGAGCTGAAGTTAGAATGTGTTTACCCATTGCTTTATCAGATGTCATTGTGCACTGATCAGGAACAACCAATGGAAGAGCATTTTCGAGATCTTTTTGCAATTGGTTTCGCTTTTTGAGAACACGGTTGCGATTACGAAGATGGGCAGATTTATTACTGGCAGCATTTTGATGACTTGAGCTAGTAATAGAAGATGGAATACCCTCTTCTTCTATGTCCTAAATCATTTCAGACAGAGAAACAAAAGAAAACACACATAAATACCAGAAGTAGCCAACTTTCCTAGTGGTAATGACATGATTTAGAGACACAGTAGTCCTAGAATTAACAATACATACACCAAGGTCATCAGTGTTGGATTCTAAACCTTGATCCAAGGAGAAATCAGCTTGAGAATCTGGGTCTTTACTACTGGCAATACACTTTTCTGCACATCGAAGAGCAGCATCAAGAGAATTCATTCTGTTTGAACCCAACAGGAACAAGTTGTGATAAAAGTAAATTAAATCTAGTTAACAGAAAAATACATAAAGTAAAAAGACAAACCCAGCTGCCAAATCGTGCACTGGAGTTGGAGTTGAACCGGTTGAATCCTGGAAATTAAGATGAATAGTATCGACGAACAATATGACAGCACACAAAAAAATGAGAAAGAAACAGTCGGTTTAAAATTACCTCTTCAAGCACCTTTCCTTGAGATTTCTTTTTGACCGATTTTCCATTTTTGGCTTGTCGCTGGTAGTCATATTTTTTGATGATAGGTGTCACATGTTTTAATGGTGAGGTCACCTTGGGTATTGTCTTTTTCAATACAGAGCTTGTTGAGAGTGTACTTGAAGATGTTGAAGTTGAAGAAACAATGGGAGACTGAGAAGAATCCTCCATTCTAAAAGTTCTTCAGTGAACAGTGAAGGTGTGAGCTTTTCCCAACTAGGCTATTACTTCCATTATATATACTGAGTACACACTAGATGCGGTACACCTGGTCAATTCTTCAAGCAGCAAGTTAGCGTTGGAAATGAGCGAAACCATTGCACGTGCACGAAAAACAAGTACACCAACAAGCAGAACCCAATCCTAACCTCGATACTCGATTGTACCAGTGTACCAAAACCAAAACAAAGCCCACGTGACTTGATAGCAAACAGTTTTGACGGAGGCAAAATTTTCAAACTGTCTTGAAACGGAAAATGTTTATTTTCCCCCGTAAGTACCTGAGATATTTGACAAAATTTCATAAAATTATGTATGAAAACTATTTTTGAATGGTTTTGAAGCTTGTAATGAAATTTCATAGGCTGTGTTTACGGCTCAGAAAGTTTGAAGGTTGGTAATGCGACCTGTCTCTCCTTCTCTCTCTCGCCGTTCACTCTCTGTTGTTTGTTTGGATGTAAAGTTGAGTTGTTGGTTCTATTTCATATTTCACATATTTCTATGAGCCTTTAACCGAAATGACACACGGGGAGGAGAGAGACGCCTTTACTGGCATTTACAAAACTAACGACCCAATACAAAATTTGAAAATAAGGTAGTTTCTTTAGAATGAAATTGTTTTTCTTTTTCAAGATTAACTTAAAAAAATACCAACAACTATTTGATTGATTTATCCAGGGTACATCTGAGACATGTGAAGGCTGCTCATATTCCTCTGCCTCAATTTGTTAATGAAGATCAAGAGCGTGATCTTGATGGAGCTTCATCTGCATCAGCTACTGCGTCTGTTACAGTATCAGGAACCAGCCAAGCTCGTGGGAACAGCTCAGATGACGAGATTAAAACATTTGCTTGGCAAGAAAAAGTTTTCAGCCGTTATGAGGTAAGCTGCATATAGAGATTTTGTTTCTTCCCACTGAGCTGTTTGTGTCATCAATACTTTGATACAGATTGACCTCTACAACGATATTTCCAACTGCCACACTGCCCTTCAAGAACAATACCACAAGGAAATAAGAACAATAACAAGCGTCCATCGACAGAACTCTCAACAGGACCGCCTGTTTACTTATGTCCATAACGATGATGTTTCATCAATTCAAGAAGTAAGATCTCCCTTAATTTGTAAATTGATTTATTTATTAGTGGTTTTCAATACTGACAGCTTTTTATTTTTTCTATTTAGGATGAAGATACACCAACACTCTCCAGTGAGCCACATCATAATCATTTAGTCATAGCTATGAGACAACTTCAGACAAAGCAAAGATATGTTCCTAGAAATATTTTTAGGTAAGTTCTCATTTGAAGTATGTATCAGTTTCTATTGAATATGACCATGGTCTTAGTGGAATGAAATGAATGTTTAGGAGAGAGAAAATGAGACGTCGACAGGTTTTGGTTCAAGAAGGCCAGGGAAATGCTGAGTTTCATCTTCAGGGACTTCCCCAAGCTGCCTGCCAGAGAATGTATATTATGGCCGATCTAAGTTCCTTAAATGAGTAAGAAGTTGATTCAAACTTCCTAGTCCTGATTTACTAATCACCTCTATAGATAATTATTTTCTATATTACTTATATGTTGCAGTGTTGGGGCAAATGAGTATGTCTTGTGTGTTGTTCGATGGAATGCTGCCAGTGGCTCTTTATTTGTTTCACCTGATATATGCGGCCCTCCAACAGAATCTAAACCATACCGGATAGAAGTGGATGGAGATGCACGTAATGTATATGAATATTGGCTTGAGCTTGCCTCTTCTGATACGAGTGAAGAGGAAAAAGTTAGGGAAGCTGAATTGAGATCTAAGGTACAGCATTTCACTTGTTCTTGCACTGTGCTGATTGCTTTCCAAGTATTTCTAAATCTTAATACTTTTATTTCTATCTCAGGTATATCGCCATCAGTCAGACCTACGAAAGGCTAGAATTGGTGACGATTTCTGTGCTTGTCAGAGTGGTACTCTATCAGTAAATATTTTTGGTCAGATAAATATTCTTCAAAATTTTGATGACCACAATCTCTTTATACATTACTTCATAGATTTGCCTAGAGGTACTGTGTTGCAAAACAAAATTAATTGAAAAATTGAAAAGACCATAAACATCTTTTAATTTCTTTTCATATAAATTTTGAAAATCTTGTTCTCTTAAGGTTGGAGTTCTGATTCTGAAGAATCTCTCGCTGGCATAAGTGCATCATGTAAGGCATCTAATGGCTGTGTCCACCTGGGCCACCCACTGCAGTTTAATTTGAAGCTTAGTCTATCTGAGCTGGAAGATTCTTCCGGTTTGTATTTAGTTTAGACCCACAAATCTTTTTATAAAAATTTCATTCATGTTCAATGCTCTTTTTGACTTTAAAATATTCATCTTTTTTAAATAACAGACGTTGTTCCAAGGTGGCCCCAATTGATGTTTGAAGTTCTCTCCATGGACTGGTGGGGTCGCTTCCGAACCGAGGGTTATGGATACGTAACACTGCCCTCAACTGCTGGACAGCACCATGTCACCACTCACACGTGGAGGCCTATTGGAAATTCGCCTGTGAGTGAGTTACGCCGTTTCTTCATCGGTGGCAACCCAGAACTTGAGGATATCACCTATGTCGGAATTCCTCATGAACATGAGGTTTGTGTTATATTTCTACTGGGATTACAACTATAATAAGTCTTTTCATGTGCCCCTATTTTCCCTTGTATTTGTAAATATGTTTGAAGGGACCTCTTCTTGGAAAGTACGGTGTCCAGACTGTCCCCAGTGGAAGTGTTGACACAGTCTTCAATGTGGTGCTGCAGTCATCATCCCCATCAGGCAGAGCCATGTCAACAGCACCTTCAGCATTGCTGGAGCGTCTGAGTGCAGCCACCCTGGTCAGCAGTGTGAACCAGGTCCTTGCGGCCTTCAGAAGAGCACACGAGCGCATGCTTGCTGCCAAACAAGGGCTGGACCTCAAGGACCTTAACGACCTCAAAGGCACCGCCACAGAGACCGCCACTGACACACAAGAATCTGTGATGTGATAGCCAGCTACGTACAGTTACATCCTGAGAGTCATCTTTATTGATTCAGTATTATGTGTGTGTCTGTTCAACTTAAAGAGCACTAATTTTGTGTGATTAGTACTATGTATGTATCTGTTTGTTTGCCTATACAAGAGCACTGAGTTTGATGTGATTTAGTCAGCACATTTTCTCTATAAGTGCACCTGATGCCTGTGATTTGATGAAACATTTGTTTTCAAAACCATGCCAAAGATTTTTAATACCTTGCAAAGTCAAAGTAAATTTTCTTACACCTTAATTGTTTTAGCATTCTTTAATCCTTGGACTGTTTTCTGTTGGGTGAATCAGATAAAATAAGATAAAATACAGTAAGCGGCCTGTTTGTTTTGTTCTCTTTTTTTAATTAAAACAAATGGGAAAAATTTCAAGAAACAAATGAAAAGTTGTTTTTTTTTTTTTAACACAGACTGAGTGTTGGCGAGGCAGAGGAGGAAACATAAATGTGCTTAAACCAAACATAAGGAATCGTGCTCGAAACTGAGCGCCTCGCTCGTCCAAACTGCAGCGTCGCGTCGGTCCAATGTGGTCCACTGATGCCGAGATGTCCCGCGCGAGACCAGGCCACTGTGCACTCCGCCTCGCCTCATCACACACAGCGACGTCCACGATGCCTCTCGCATCTCCCATGGCATCGGCTCCATGCCCCATGCCATGCCCAACCACCAATCGCAGCGCCGCCGGCCCGCCAATCCCGCGGTCTCCGTGACTCACGACGAAATCGGATAGGAGGGCCCGGCGCCCGGCAACCTGACTCATTGTGGGGTGTCATCGTCATCGTCACCAGCCTCGCCTCGTGCAGGCCGTGCTGGCGTGCTGGCCGCGGTTGCGAGTCACGTCATCGCGGCGTGTGTGTGGCTGTGTCTGTGTGCAGCAGAGAGGCTCACCGGCAAGGCCGCTGTAGCGTCGTGGGACATCTAGGGTGAATTTCACAAGGGTTGCCTAGCAACCAGGGGCTATCGTCAGGGGGAGGCGCCCGGCGCGCCCGGGGAGGGGCCGCTTTGTTTTTGGGTAGTCGCCTGAAGAGGGAATGCCGTGGCTAGCTCCACTACACTCCACCACCGTGCCGACGACTCTTGCCCTGCCTCACCCCCACCCCTCCCCCACACCGCGCGATACCCGGCGCGCTCCTCATGACATCGCCTTTATTCCTGATGTTATGTGCGAGGCGTGGCGCGGGCGGGGCGTGGCGGGCATATCCGGCCCGGGCAGTTCCCCTTTAAAACGCCACGCGAGCCAGGAGCCAAGGGGCGTCCGTGTGGGGGGCATGCCTGGGGCTGCCTGGCCTGGGGCTAGACTCGGGGCGGGCAAGCGAGTGTCTCGAACTCTCGAACAACAGCCATCGCGCTTCGCGCATCGCAAGCAGACGCGAGAGATTCGCGTTTCGCTTCGTAAACACGAGGCGCTAGGCGCGCTAGGCCAGCGTCACCGACCCGAGGAGCCCGCCGGGCCACTGGGTGCCTTGCCTCTCGGCTCTTGGTTTGCTACCGTGGGGTGACTGCGCCAGATCCTCTCAGATTCGATATTCGACGGCGAGACGGCGCACCGAGAGACAGGCAGAGAGGCACCGGCAGAGGCGCACCCACTGTCCCCGCGCCTTGCCGCCGTGCCCTCGCCATTAGCTCGCCGCCACGCCCCTCCATCACTCTGTGTCCCTCGCGCCCCGCCCCGCCCCGCCCCTCTTGACTCTGGCCGCTCTGCCCCCGCCCACAACACGCCACTCACCGCAACACGCCATTGCCCCCTCGCCATTTCTCCGCCCTTCCCCGCCGCCACCTCCTCGCCTTCCTTTGACCGGTCCGGTACGCCCTGGCCGCCCCGCCCGCCGCACCCGCCCCGCCCCGGCCCAACCCGGGCGACGGTACGGCGGAATCCAGTTTGATCTGCGTCAGTGCGCCCTCCCACCCCCTGACTCCCCTCGGCGACTCGCTGCCGGCGTCGCGGTGGTCGTGGTGGCGGCACGGCGCGGTGCACGTCCGCGACAACCCTTGAACTTCACCTTGCGACGCGGCGACGCGGCCCGGCCGGCCCGGCTTGAAGCAGCGCGCTCTTGCTTTGCCTTGCCGCTTGCAGTTGCCGCTTGCCGCGCGCTTCGAATCCTTGCAGGAGAGGAGCGACCCGAACGCAGACGTGCGTCCCGGCTGCCTACCCGACGCCCCTGCCGCCGTGCCAGGCACCAGCTGCACCAGCCGGGCAGCGGCCTTCCCGTGTGGGTGCGAGAGAGACAGAGCGCTGCCTGCTGCTCCAGGGCTCCGCCGTCATGGACGGCAGGAACGGCAAAACTAGGCAAAACGAGGCCGGCCGAGAGCGGCGCGGTGCAGCGGCGCGGTGCAGCACCCGCCCACGCCTGGAGACGGAGCGGGCTGGCTAGAGGGCTGCAGACTGATTCCGAGAGGCGCTTTCGTCGCTCTGCCTCTCTCACACTCATGGGACGTCACGCATATGTGCGAGAGGGACAGAGCGGCGAAAACGCCTCTCGGAATCAGTCTGCTGGCGGCGGAGTGAGGGGCAGGAGCAGAGTGCCGGCATAAACGCGTTACGTGTTATTGCATTCGGGCTTGTGTCAGCCCTGCACGGCCCTGCCAGATAGGAGGGCGACGCACCGATCCGGACAGCAGCGCTCTCTTCGCCTTGTCTCTCTCGCACCCCGCGGAACACCCCGTGAGTGCGAGAGAGTCCACTGCAGGCGGGCCTCGGACCGCGCCTCGGACGGACCGGGCCGCGGCGGAAAAGATTGCAGCACCGCTCAAACCAAACCGTGACCCTGATCACGTGCCCTGCCCTTCTCTTTGGCGCGTTGAGGCTTTTCTGCTGTCGTCTTCTTTCCCTCCTTCTCCTTCTCCTCTCCGGTGCACTTATCAATAGCGAGACCGAGAGCCGAGAGCCCAGACTGAGCGTCGTGTCGCTTCGGCCAGCATGCCTGCTACGTCGTAGGCGTAGCGGCGGAGTGGCGTAGCGTGGCGTAGTGCGTTGCACAACTTGAATGTTCGTCGCTCCGTCTACGGGACGCCCCGTGGGTGCGAGAGAGACAGAGGCCCCGTTCGGAATCGGCCTGCGGGCCCGGCGGGGCGGACGGCGCACATGAACCGAAGCGTGAACCGCACCAACGCGTCTTTTCCACTCAAACAACGCCGGGCGTGCTGCGCGGTGCTGCGCGGTGCTGCGCGGTGCTGCAAGTTGCCTGCACTGTACTAAAAGCACTGGTGTGCGACGCGGTGCGACGCAACGCGGCGCTCGCACTGCTGGTGCTCCGAGCCCGGCCAAGCCCGGCCATGGGCCTCTGTCAATATCGTTAGGTTGCCGGCTCAGAGCCTATGGGAGAAAAGGAAGAAGAAGACAACAAGAACAAAAGAACAAATGTTTGGCTTGTCAATACCCACACAGCGCCGCACCGACGTACCGACCGCGCGCCTGGCTGTTGCGATGAGTAGAGCCCCTGTGTGCGCTTCATGCCACGTAAGGGGTGTGTGTGTGTGGGGGGGGGGGGGGGTAGAGAGAGACCTGCGTGTGCATGCGGTGGTGACGGCCGAAGTAATAACAAGTATGGCGACCTCTGCAAACATGTTGTTACTCCTGGCGGCCCGTTGACGGATGCTTCGACTGCTTCGATTGCCGCAGCGCTTTAAATCGCCCGCGCCGAACGCGGGAGGCGGAAACGACCCGAACCGACCCGAAGCTGCCGGCGCTCCCCGCCACCCCACCCCGCCGCAGTGTCACGTTTTGATGATAAAAATAGGAAAGCGGCGCGGCCACTGGCTGGCCTGGCAGACGGCAGTGGCGTGGCCGGCGTGGCCGGCGTGGCGGGCCGTCCCCGTTGTCCCGTGGGGACGTCGCCGTCACTCCGACCCGTCACTGCGGCCCGAGCACGTCGATGGCAGAGACAGAGAGAGAGAGAGAGAAAGAGAGAGAAACAGAGAGACGGAGTCACGGCGGGACTGGTTTCGTGGTTCGCAAGGTCAAACCCCTTCCGCCGCACCGCCGCACCGCCGCGTCGCTGAGCCGCGAGCCGCGAGCCGCGTCGGGCCCACGATGTGGCAGACGGCAATGGCAAATCATTCCGAGAGACCGCGCGGCCGCCACTCGGCTCTCGGCTCGGCTCGGCTCGGCTCGGCTCGTGGCGACTCGGTGCAGACAAGTTGGCCGCGGCTAAAAGTCGTCGAGCCGACGCACTCGGCACGTGTCGGCCTGCCGCACGGCCTGCCGGGCGTGGAGTGTAGAGTCCCGGGACCCGTCTAGGACTCTAGTCGAGACAAGAGCAGAGCGGCAGCGCCACTTGCGGGGCTTTAGCACGCGCAGCAGTGAGTCGTTTTCGTCGCTCTGTCTCTCTCGCACTCATGGGGCGTCCCGTGTGCGTGCGAGAGAGACAGAGCGACGAGAACGACTCTCGGAATCGGTCTGCTGCACGCGCAGCCGGACTTTGAGAACTTTCTAACGAGACTTGGAGGCAAATGACGCTGGCCCGACAGCCGCGAGCCGTGAGCCCAATGAGCAAGCAGCCGGCTGGAAAACGTAAAAACGTTAAGCGGCACTGGGAATAGAACGCGGGGCGCCCGGAGCAGCGAGGGAACTGAATGCAGTCCACGAACACTAACCGGCTAGCGCGGCTAGCGCCTGCGAGGTAGGCCGGCGGCGCGCTTTCAGCACACCGGTGTGGAGACGGTGGCCTACCTTGCGCCCGGCGTCTCCACAGGGGCGAGGTAGGCCGCCGTCTCCACACCGGTGTGCTGAAAGCGCGCCGCCGGCCTACCTCGCAGGCGCCTAAGTCAGCACAGTGGAGGCCGGATAACTGGCAATCTCTGCTCGTGTTGCTCGGACGTATCGCGCAACTAGCTTCGCGGCTCCCAACAAAATCGGCAATGAAGGGGTGGATTCGAACTAGGATCCCAATAGCTGGAAACCGGTCGCTTTACCCACGCGGCCACCACGTCAGCTAGAAGCTGAAAGCCCGCATGTTCCGCGCAGGGCCCTCGGGAGAGACCCTGTAGCTCAGGGAAGGCGACGGGGCGGCGTGGCCCGAGGACCCCGTTACAGTGTACCAAGCCAGGGCCTTTAGGCTGCGCGCTGCGCGCTGCGCGGCCCAAGGGCTTCGCACTTCGCACTCCGCGCCGCGCGGGTCGAAGGGAAGGGGAGGGAAGGGCCAACCCTTTTGGCCTTGCATTGCTTTGCTATTGTTTATGCGGCCTGCCTGCCTGTCTGCCTGCCCGCCTGCCCGCCCGAGGTGGTTTATTTTGGAGCGGCGCC